TGAATTTTCTGCCTCTAATTCAAATGACTAACCAGATTTCTTTTCCCCCAACATGCCATCAGAAGGAGCAAATTTCTTTGTTCATTCCTTATTCTCCTCCTGCAGAATGAACCTGAAGCCTCTCACTTCTCCAAAGCTTAAGCCATCGTGGACTCATTGTTCCGAGTTCTTGTGTGATTTCTCTGGGTAATACCACATTTTTCAAAGCATCCACTTCAACTGTCCTTGCTAGGATACTGCATTCAGACATCTGACATACTAGGGAGAGACGCTACGCTTTTTGCAGTGGGTAACTTCTGAATTAGGCAGTTGGTTCCAGGATAAGGTTTGGGCTCATGAAAAGAAAGAGCAGCTGCTGTAATTTTGTCTCTCCATTCAGAGCTCCAGAATACAGCTCACAGCTCTTATGAGGTTATTGGCTTCTATTGACTGAAAGGGTAGCAGTGATTTACAATGTAATTTCCCAAACTGATAGGGTGGAACGGAAGTCTCCATGTCTTCTCTAGACAGAAGGTGGCAAAAAGAATGGGTTTTTACCATTATTGCAAGCAAAACTGCAATAATGGAAGTAGTTTTTAAGTTTCTTTGGAAGCACTGGGCATTAGATCATTTTGCCAGGTAAAACTATCGCTGTATTTGGTTATGGCAGTGTTTCCCAAACTTGACAATTTTAAGGCATGTGGACTTCAACTCCCAGAATTCCACAGCCAGCGTTGCTGGCTGTGGAATTCTGGGAGTTGAAGTCCTCATGCCTTAAAATTGTCAAGTTTGGGAAACACTGGGTTATGGTGATGGTAGTAAGAATCACACGTCTTCACTACAAGCATGCCTGTTTTGTTTGTTTGTTTGTTTATTATCTCACCTTTATTATTTTTATATTAAAAAAACCCAAGGTAGTGAACATTATCTGATACTCCTTCCTCCTCCTATTTTCCCCACAACAACCCCACTCTGAATTGGATTGGGCTGAAAGAGCATGAGAATGACAAGGTCACCCAGCTGGCTTTCATGAGAAGGCAGGACTGGAACTCACATTCTCCTGGTTTCTACCTTGGTGCCTTAGCCACCAGATCAAACACGGGGTCTCTACCAAAAGGAAGAACAATATAATGAAGCTGGTTTGGGAAGGAGCAACAAACTGATTGATTCAATATGGGAGTGAAAAGGCAAGTCTAACTGGCATTCCCAGTGAGTGCATCGTTTTGTGGACGATGTCTCTACAATGATGGGTGAAAAAAACAATGTATCTGTATATGAGATCAGAAACTGGCAACTTGGGGAAATGATAATACATTTAAAATATTAAGTACCTGGTCTGTACACTCACAAGACTGCTGTATCTCCATCTGAAAGGTTTGCATTTATAAACCAAACTCAGTGGATTAGGAATTTGTCTTTGGTAATATTGCCACTTTAGAAACCGTAGCAGCTAAATGATTTGAAGTTCGGATCATGCATACTCTTGAAAAGGATTATGCCTTTCAGAAACATAGGTGTACTCTCTAGAACAGCCATTTTTCTATCTCCATATCTCAACCAGCCCTAAATTGTCCAGCATTTGGCTTTTGACTCAGGGCATGACTTGAAATTTGGGTGGCATGGATATTTGTGGTATGATAAAGTCAAGATTAATGAGGATTTTAAAAATCACTATTTTAGACATGCCTATTGAGAATATGGAATAGCTGTAAACTCAGGTTCTGTCCAAAAACACCTTTGTGGATCTTAGCACAAGAATCATTTTATAGTTTAGAAGTAATGGACAAAAATGGCTAACGTATTGTGAGATACTAGAATTTTGTCAAGGGGAATGTAAAATAGAATCAATAGAACCGGTGGCAGGGGGATATAGGTATTGGAAAGATTTAAAGTAGACAAAATAATGTTTTTGAGCATTGTAAGACTGAGTTTGAAATAAAATTGTGTACAAATAAATATGCAATTGCTACATTGTATAAATTTATTGGAATTTGAAAGACAAAGTGAAAGAATGTGTAATAAAGTGGGCTAAATTTTTGGTGTTAATATGCAGATGGAACCTTGGGAAACTATGTGGCTTGTTTTAACATGCAGATAATTAATATCTAAACCATTCAATAATATTTGCAATTGAAGCATTATCTAAGATTAGGATATTAACTGTTGTGATGATATGGGTGATACGGGAATGCTAGTGTACGTCATTTAATCTCTCCAAATGTGGAGCTACATAAAGGGGAAGGCAGAAGCTAATTTTCAAATATTTCTTTTTTTATATATAAATTTTTATTTTTAACCAACAAGACAAAACAAAACAAAGCAAAACATAACACACATACACACACAATATATACTCCTCCTTTTTTTATAGCAATTACATAACAGTAATCTAATATTTACATTTCCCCCTTATTCTTCTTTAAATATTTGTCCTTATAGCCCCATTATTTCTTATTTACATTTTTCTTTCTTCATGTTCTATTTCTTACTAAGAATAATTCATATTATTATTATACATGATTGTACACATATTTTCACTTTTGACCTTTCCATATTTATTCTCCTCTATTATTTCTAGTCTCCAACCAGACATACACCTTGTTCCATACTATATAATACTCTGTGTCTTCCTTTTCTTTTATCTCTTTTGTTAATTTGTCCATCTCAGCACAGTCCAGGATTTTTCTTATTACTTCTTCCTCTGATGGTATATTCTCATTTTTCCAGCACTGTGCATATGCTATTCTTGCCGCCGTTATTATATGTAAAATTAAGTACCCTATTTCTTTACTATATTTTCTATTTAAAATACCCAACAAAAAGATCTCTGGTTTCCAGTCTACAGGTTGGTCTATTATTTCTTGGATCCATTTTCTTATTGTAGACCACTATTTTTTTGCAACTGGGCATGTCCACCATAGATGATAATATGTTCCATGTACTTTTTTACATTTCCAACATGTTGACGAATTATTCTGGAACATCTTTACAAGCTTTGCAGGTGGAAGATGCCATCTGTAAAACATTTTCAACTGGTTTTCCTTGAATGCTGCCGACATAGTCAATTTTATATTTATTTCCCATATTTTTTCCCATTTCTCCAATTCTATATTATATCCGAAATTTTTTGCCCATCTAATCATTGTGTCTTTAACAACCTCGTCTTCCATTTTATATCTCAATAGGTATTTGTATAAATTGCTAATTAATTTTATTTCTGTTCCATGTATAATTTTATCCAATTCTTGCGGCTCTTTTTGGATTTCATATAATTTTTTTGTCCTCTGTATATTTAGATTGAATTTGTGTAAATGTCCACCAATCAATCTCTCTGCCAATGTCTTGTTCCAATTCTTGTTTTGTTTTCAAATTTCCCTGTTCATTTACTAATTCCTTGTATCTAATTATCTTATTTATATCCACTAGGTTTGGGTATTTCAGAGCTTCTGTTGGGGATAACCACATTGGAATTCTTGTATAATGTTTTTGTTTTATTTTTTCCCAAGTCTGTAGCAATGCATTCCTAACTATGTATCTTTGAATAATTTTCAAATATTTCATTTCCATCTGAGTTCTGCACATAGTGATCCCACCCTACTGAATGTAAGGAGCAGAAATGTTGCTGGATGAGATGAGGTGAGAACTTGGGAGTCAGAAGAAAAATGGAAGATTGCAGATGGTGTGACTAACATTCCTGGGTCCCTCAGCAGTTAATGCCACAGCCTATTCTTGGCAGGCCTTCCTAACTCCCCAGGAGCTTTGGAAGACAGAAGAAAGAATAGCTGCTCAGATCCAATTCTTAAAAAATTTCAGTAGAAGAGCTGTGCACTATGACAACAGTCTTAATTGGGCTTCATCTAAACCAGGGGTCCCCAACCCCCGGGTTGTGGCTTATTACTGGCCCGTGGCCTATTCACAACTGGGCCATGGGCCGACACACACGTGGGCATGTGCAGCTCAACTTGAGCAAGCAGTGGATCAGTGTATACGTGTGTGCGTACCTCATCTCATGCGAGCGGAAGACCAGCATGCACACGTATGCATGTGCATCTCAACTTGCAATCGAGCTGCATGTGCATTTGCTTGCTGGACCACTGTTCACAAAGCCCAGATCCCCTCTGCCCTCCAGCTGGGCTGCCAAGCCACAAAGAACCACTGAACTAAACAGAAAATTCCTGCATTGTAAAATGAATATATACATATGAACATCATGAAACCATGCTTATATAATGGGCTGAATTCTATTTCTGGAAGAGGTACTTGAGGAATGCACAACGATTTGAGGATTTGATCCTTGGCATAAGAAAATATAGCCTATTAAAAACAGGAACTAAATTTGAATTAGGAAGACAGAAAACACTTGCTGATCACACCATTATTGTAGAATGTGAGATCTTCAGTCCCTTAATCTAACATGTGTGGCAATCGTACAGAGGAAACATTTATTAAACATATTTTTATGCTGCCACAATAAAGCATGACTTTTAGTGACTCACATCAAAATACAATATAAAACATGTTGACAGTGATCTCACAATGGGAGTCAGAGAGTGTCACTTGTTTCAGAATTGTTAAAGCTTGACCAGGGCAGTGTTAATTGTCACAAAGACAGCTGCTATGTAACACAATAGAAATGAAGATTGAGAAAAGGCTGAAGAAATTAAGGAGGGAAAATGATCCATGTATGTGCCACATAGTAAGTACTTGTGGATGCAGAGTTAGCATCAAGAAAAGGATGTTACTGGTGTAATTGAGTATAAAAATTGTTTTTATTGTATTTTTCAAATAGGATTCAGCAGTATTAATAGGTTTTCCATAAAAAATAGGTAAAACCAGCTAGTTTTCTTTAGCGAGACATCTGTAACATGTTAAAAGAATATAGTTTAAAACCATAAGGATGTCAAAGCAGCTTAGGCTGAAAAAATCAAATATTTGCATGAGGAAGATGTTTTAATACACACACTCAGTCACACAAACACACACACACACCCCATAATAATTTGATCTACAAGAACAGATACTAACTTTGTGTCAGGGGTTTTTATTAGAGAATCTGAAAGTTGTATCTCAGAACAATTACATAATTATCTCCATATGTCATTTTTAGGAATATTTTGAATCAGTTTGTACACGCATATACAACAACATGATCAGTACTATTACTGAAATCGGTTATCTGATTTTGTTCTAAACTACCCGTTTCCCGTAGTCTTGCTTATGTTGGTAACATGGAGACTTCCAAGCAGAAGGTTGACGTGCACTGTTCTGCATTGTAACTACAGTGGGCTTTGAGAACGTGCACATTAATACTGTGGCAAATTATTTGGCTATCTAATAGACATAAAAAGGATAATTTCCTCATATGAAAGTCTGAAAATCTGCATAAATATAGTGTGTAAAATTAAATTAACATAATTTTTTCAACTTGACCTGTAAGAATGCCCACATACTTCATATACACAAATATATATATATATATATATATATATCCGTGTGTGTGTGTGTGTGTGTGTGTGTGTATGTGTGTGTGTAATTTATACTGATATTTTGTTAGTCAAATATTCTGTTTTATACATTGTTTCTGTATTTATTTACCAGTAAGAGAATGACTGGGTGGCCATACAATATTCAACTGGTCAGAACTGGTGTTTGTTAACACATGCAAGCAGAGGTTTTGTTCACTACTGCTAATGTTGCTACAGGAATGTGATTTTTCCACAAGATTGTGACTGAATCTGTATAAATACTTTACATTATCACAGAACACCCTCCCCCCAAAATCTATTTAAATTTTAGAACACAAAAACAGTAGTATTTGGGATTGGTGACAAGTTAATTGAAATGCAACCTTTAGGTAGTCTGTAAACTCTGGTTAGAATGCCTAAAATACAATTCCTTCATATTTTTATTTAACTACAGCATCATAACTCAATATGGCACAGGAACAGTCTTTTGCTACCTTGCAATCCTTTCAACAGGATTTTACAAAAAATACCATTTAAAATTCAGACGTATCCAGTCCAGCATGGCACTTGCTGATGATGACATTCTGAACACAGAAATAACTCGCCCAGCTTCAATAATGAACGTTTATCTAGTCTACAAAGTTTATAGGTGAGAGTTTCCCAATACTGTATTCTGATATACGTTATATCTCTACGGAGCCTGTTTCTATGCAGCCAAAATGGCATTATACATTGTCAAGGTTTATAGAGTATAAAATATTTTTGGAGGAAAAAATAATCCACAGATACAGACAAAGAGATAGGATATCCTCTAAAACAACCCTATTAGGACTGGGCATAACAAATGTCCATATAATGCAGACCCATCATTGGAAGGAAAACATGAAGAACTAGAGGAATGGAACAGAATGGAGAAACAACTTCTGGAAAAGATGGACTCTACATTGCAATACTTCATTTGGTAACATTTTAGTCCAAGCAGTCCTCATGGCAAAATCGAAATTTCATAGAAAGATAGTCACTGATGCTATCAAATGTATTACAAGGTAGTTTTCTTTTGGAGGGCAGGGGAAATCTTATGAAATATTCTTCAGCGGTTCTTGTTTCAGGAGGCAGATTGATTCTGGGAAATTATAGGAGAGTTAGTGGTCTTTCCAAAGTCAAGGAAGCCCAGGCAAAAAGTAATATAAAATACGAAGGCGAGTCAAACACGACTAAACCTTTTCAAGGACAAAAATAAGTGTTGCGTTTATAATTCAAATAAAGACTGCCATCGTGTTAAGGGCAGTACTCTTGGATTTTAAAATCATACGCTTTCTTCTGAGAAGGAAAGTCTTATTTGGAAAAATAAAGTACAGTATTTCTCCCCTCCCCCTCCCCCCCAAAATCCAAGCTCTTCAGCAGAGATTTGCTACATGACCCCAAGCAGAAAAGATCCCATCTTCCAAACTTCAGTTTAGTATCATTGCAAAGACAATCTCTCTCTCTCTCTCTCTCTATATATATATATATATATCAGATGGCCTCAGACTTCAGTTTGTGCATTGGAGCTTTATACCACTGTTGCAGGCCTGCGGTCCATCTCTGCCTCTAGCTTCACCATCTGCTGCATCTCCTTGGCCTGCAAAGCAGGAGAATTGGGCTGTTAGCATGACTGAATGTGGATGTGGGAGAAGAATGAGACAGTCTAGGTTGTTGGCGCTGCACTTCTGTGTTACGGAGTGAAAAAAGGACCAACGTTCAGAATCACCCCACGAATCAAAGGGGAAACATAAGGGAGCCATTCAATATTCTGTGGTGCTTCCCGCAGCTTCAGAATGGGCAAAGAGATACTGGATAAATCAAGTCTGGACTATTTATTTATACTAGGCAAATATAATTCTTCACCGATCAAATACAAATCTAAGTATTTAGAGCAGATGCTATAAATATGGTTCTTTCTGGAAAACAACCAGAAAGGGCAAATGAATGCCATTTCAAGCCAAAACATAATCGAAAAAGCCCAAAGCTGGAGCACAATGCATTGACAGAAAAGTACAACCTCCTTTGAAATACTGGCCATTGTGACATAATTCAACAGCTGATTTTTTCCAAATGAATTCAGAGATCCTCCATCTAAAAGCCATTCAATGACTAAGTAAAGCAGGGCTTCAGGAACTGCTTGAAGATGGAGTTTCTTGTGGGCATGATTTTCACCACCTTGGATAGAATAGAGATGGAAAGGGCACAAATGGTTTAGCATCCAAAAGTATTATTTAATTGTGGTCCAAATTAAAACTAACAAATTAGGCAGGATCCAAGCATCATTTCTTGCAGTGGGCAGCCCAATTATTCTATGACATTGCCAGGTACACTTTACAGGCTCTGAGGGTCCACAGTTTCATGACATCATGGGAAATCACATTAACTTGAGGACCCAACTGGCTACTGCTTTTGTCAAGGTGGCACAGGTAAGCAAGAAGTGAAAGAGTCCCACCCTTGGCAGAATAATCTCCTAGTTCACGTATCTGAATATTTGTCTTGAACCTCACTGCCTATATCCAAGTCCAATAGCAAGTTTTATGTTCCTTTTTGTGTGTGTGTTCAGGAATGCTACTTCATAATTTTTCCCATGTCCTTTTCTCTTTTGCCAGCATACTGCACAGTTTTGGTCTCCTTTCAGAAAACAATCAGTAGATACAAAACTGGCATGCTACAACTCCAAATGAGCCAGGATCTTGACCTATTTTTAAGTTGGAAAGAATATGTTAGCAGTTTAGTCCACTAACTTGATTTCTGGAAAAGCATGAACCGGACAGTGCTACGGTTATTCTGTTTCCCCCCCACAAATTTCCCTTTTTATTGTATTAATAACGTTAATAAAATCAGTAAGGGTGATATTACCTGCCTGCCTCGAAACTATTTCAGTCGCATGATGTATCTGGTAGCATTTTTTCCCATGAACAATTGACAGCTCCTGAGAGTTAAGTCTCTATATTACAATGATTTTCTCTTTGCTTTATTCATCTGTTCATCCCTATTGTCTAAACCAGACTGATCTGATTTGAAAAACAGGAGCTCCCCCTTTATTTCTCGGAGCCCTATTGTAAGACAGATTGTGCACTGTTTTAAACAATGGTTCCAAAAAAAGGGGGCAATTACTATTTATATAAATCATTTATAATTCGATCGCATGCTTCAGATACCATAAAAGTATTCTGGAAATTATGACAACAAAACCAGAGAAATCTCAATGGGGCAAATGTTTTTGTACCAACGTTATAACATTCACTAGTGCTGGGCATACAAAATGGCATTTTTTTTTTAATTTTTGGTCCTTTCAAATTAGCATTGACTCTGGGCAACAGTCTGTATAAGTTCCTACAGTTTCCGAAGTGATTTGTCCTTGCCTCCTTCCTAAGCTGAGAGAGACTGAGACTGACTGGCCCAAGGTCAACCAGCTGGCTTTGTGTTAACATGGTAGTAAAACTCAGTCTCCCAGTTTGTAGCCTGGGACTGCTGCATCAAAACTGACTCTACAATGTTCTAACTACTTGCCAGTTTTAATGTTTTAGTTCAAGCTTCAAAAAGTAGCCTTTTCTACTCGGTCTAAATCAGAAGTTGTCCATTTTGGCCAGGACTCAAGTCAGATGTGAAATATGGGCAAATGAAATTGTTGATGAAACTGGATGACATTTGCAAGCAAAAATGTCAACACATTTCCTTAAAAATGTGATGACTGAAGAGTCCCTGAAAAACTTACTTCTGCAGCTAGACGGTCTCCCCCCACCTCCCCCAATATATTTGATTTATTTTTCAACAAAAAGTGAGATTTGCCTACTTTAAATGAACTGACAGTCCATTTTTATGCACACACTTACTCAGTATATAGAATTGTCAGTCATATATGTTGCCTATGTTTAGAGCAGCGGTTCTCAACCTATGGGTCGCGACCCTTTTGGGGGTCGCATGAGCTTTTCACAGGGGTTGCCTAAGACCATCGGAAAACACATATTTCCGATGGTCTTAGGCAGGACTTGTCAACCGCCTTCTCTCCCTCCCTCCCCTCCACTCCACCTCACTTGTTTGTGGAAAATACACTGCTTGGCGGCAGTCTGCACGAACTCTACCAAATGTGCCCTGCAGGGGGTGCATGAAGAGCGCAGGCGCAGAGCAAGGCCCTGCCCTCCCCAGAGACTCATTGTGCAGCAACCGGATTGACTTCTTCTTGTGCACGCAGGTCAGCGAAGGGGAGGCAGCCGCAGCACCCAACTCCTGCGCCCATCAGCTGGCGACCCCCGAACTTGCGCTTGTCAGCCGGGAGGTCTGGCGATGGCCGCCGGTCTCCTTTGCCATCCCACCCGTCCTTGACTCCTCCTCTGCCCGTTCATGTCGATCCCGCTGGGGCTTGACAGGGAGAGAGGGAGTGAAGAAGGAAGGGACTCCTCCTCCTCTCCTAAGCTTCAAAGCACGATCAGCTTCCCAAGGGCGCCACAATCCTCACGAAAGCAGGGGGGGAAGCAAAGGGGGCGAGAAAGCTTGCAGCGGGCTCGAAGGAGCACCTGTCAGCGTTGGTGACGAGAAATTCCCCACAAACCCAGGGAAGGGGTGGAGAAAAGGAGCCCCCTTTGGGAGGAAACCGCCACTTTCTTCTCCTTGGCTTTGCGCTCTTCTGTTCCTTGGTAGCCGGGCTGCCAAGCCTCTGCTGGCTGGAACTTCCTTTCCTTCCCTCCCTCTTGGTCTCTTCCTCCTTCCCTCCCTCTCCCATTGTCCCTTCCTTCCTTCCTTCCTTCCTTCCTTCCTTCCTTCCTTCCTTTCCTTCGCCTCCCTCTTGTCCCTCCTTCCCTCCCTCTCTCCCCTTGTCCCTTCCTTCCTCCCTCCCTCCCTCCCTCCCTCCCTTCCTTTCCTTCGCCTCCCTCTTTGTCCCTCCTTCCCTCCCTCTTTCCCCTTGTCCCTTCAGTCCTTCCTTCCTTCCCTCTTGTCCAGGATCAAGGCGAACCTCTACAGCTGATCCGCGCTTTTGCAGAACAGCCAAGAAGCAGGTCAGCTGTAGCAGTTCTTCTTGGCTCCTGCCCAGCAAACTTGCTCGAGCTTTGCTAGAAAACATGCTGCTTGCTAATTTAGCAGAAGCGCGAATCAGCTGTAGCCCGGCGCTGATCCTGGGGCTTCTGCTAACTTAGCAAGTGGCATGTTTTCTGGTGAAGCTGAGCAAGTGAGCTGGGCGGAGCTCTGCCTCTGGCAGCCTGTCCCCCTCCCCTTGTCCCTTCCTGGGCACAGAGGGGGGGAGGAAGGAAGGGACGAAGAGGGAGGGAAGGAAGGGACAATAAGAGAGGGAAGGAAGGAAGGAACAATGGAAGGGAGGGAAGGAAGGAAGGGACAAAGGGAAGGAAGGAAGGAAGGAAGGAAGGAAGGAAGGAAGGAAGGAAGGAAGGAAGAAAGAAAGGAAGGAAGGAAGGAAGGAAGGGACTAAGAGGGAGGTGAAGGAAAGTCAGGAAAGAAGGAAGGGACAATGGGAGAGAGGGAGGGAAGGAGGAAGAGACTAAGAAGGAAGTGAAGGAAAGGAAGGAGAAAAGGAAGGGACAATGGGAAAGAGGGAGGGAAGGAGGAAGAGACTAAGGGAGGTGAAGGAAAGGAAGAAGGAAGGAAGGGACAATGGGAGAGGGAGGGAAGGAGGGAAGGAGGAAGAGACTAAGAGGGAGGTGAAGGAAAAGAAGAAAAGAAGGAAGGAAGAGACAAAGGGAGAGAAGGGAGGGAAGGAAGGCAGGCACCCACCCCAATCTCATCCCAGAGACCCACAGATTCCCCCCCCCCACAGGCACTCTGCAACCTGTGATCAGCTGGCCATGCCCCCTGGCCATTGATCACGTGACCCTGGGACACTGTGAACGTCATAAGTATGAATCAGTTGTCAAGCATCCAAATGTAAATCACATGACCCTGGGGATGCTGCAACAATTATAAGTGTGAAAAATGATCATAATTCGCTTTTTCAGTGCTGTTGTAACTTCAAACAGTCACTAAGCGAATTGTTGTAAGTCGAGGACTACCTATATTTTTTCCTTTTTTTTGGGTCAAGTTTTTGATATCCCCCAGCCAGCTGGATGGGGAGTTGGGGGTCACCACAACATGAGGAACTGTACTAAAGGGTTGCGGCATTAGGAAGGTTGAGAACCATTGGTTTAGAGGATTCATAATTATGGGCAAAATTGTTTTGTATGAAACCTAGACATGAATAAGACTCCACACACACAAAAACTAAGAGATGTATTTTATAAGAAACTAGCTATCTGTGAAACCTAAAGCCCACAAATACAATTCCAGCTTTTGGGGGCCTCTAGTAGTGTGTATACAAGGCAATACAATGCACGTCAACAGAACTGTTGGAAACTGGGATCCTTTGCAAGTACCAAATTGATTCTAAATCAAGCCAATATGGATCAGTCATCAATTGATATCTATAAAGTAGTAGTAGCTTGCTCAGAATACATAAATCCTACCTTGAATTTGAGAGACTGCATGGCAGGATTTCAAAAGCTGTTTGTATAAAAATAATAACGTCAAAATTCAGCAACACAATGAAGCAAATAAACTGAATGAAAAGTGAGATGACAACAACATAAATGCAAGAAAAAGACTTATTTTCTTCTAGTCTAGTCTACTCTAGTCTGGGTCTGGCTTTCTCTAGTTTCATCTTGTTTTCAAAATGAAAGAAAGAGAAACGCATCAAATCTTTAATGGATAATAGGTATACCCATTAAAAATGTGATGCATTTCTCTTTCTTTCATTATTAATTAATCAAGGTACAGATTTCTAGTGCAATTCACTAATTTTACTTTGCTTGATAAAGTTGAGTTAAATGAGAGGGGGGAAAAATCAAACCAGTAAATAGTTTTTGAGTGTGTCAGTAATGAAGGAAATGATGGAGAAGTAAGTTTCAAAATTATAGCAGAAATGATAAAGTTGTGAAAAGCAGTTAATGCATTATACCCATCTATTTATCTATATCACAGGAGTGTCAAACTGGCGGCTCGTGGGCCGGATGCGTCATGCGCAGGCCACGCCCACCCCAGCTCCGTAAAGGCAAAAAACATCATGATACATCACGTGATGCGATCGAGTTTGACACCTGTGCTATATCATCTTTGAGTCCCAGTTAACTCCTAACAACTTTATGCAGTTATGCAGTTTTATAGGCAATATTTTTGGAAAAGGTTTGCCATTTCCTTCTTCCTAAAATTGAGAGAGTGATGGGCCTAAGGCCAACCAGAAGTTTTCGTCCCTGAGTTAGGACTAGAATCCAGGTTTCCCTGTTGCTAGGCCAACCCATAACCATTAGGCCAAACTAGCAGATGCTCACTCACTGCGCCCCTACTTATAATGGAATATAACAGAAAACAGGACTTATTGCTCAATCGAACCTAGTGTAGCTTCTAGAGATTCTGATTTTAGACAAACCTACAGTGTTTTTATATCCTAACTTAAAGAAATTAATGTAATTTATTTGCACCATAGACAATTCAGCAAAACAGGTTAAAACTGATCTTTTATCTTTCCTTGATCACTTACCATGGTTTTCACAATAACTGAACTGACAAAAACCACTTTTCTATAGCAAAACTTACCAGTAACTACATTTAAATTTAAGTAGGCAATCTGCCATGTCCCAGATGTTCTAGACAAAAATTCTGATCATTCCTAGCCATTGTCCATATTAGCTGTGACTCTGAAATCCGTAACATCTGAAGAGCACCAGGCTGCTTCTCCTTTGTCTATCACAGTAGCAATACTAGAAGCAGCAGTGGAGATTCTTGTAGATTGGCTTTGCTTCTACTAAGGAAGTATCACATACGTCAAATGAGGATATTGAAAAAGATTGTGGGGATACAATTTCACTTCTATCTAAATGTCTGCTTTGTACAAGATTGGCTTCCAATGATAAGCAAGTCTCTTTTAGTTTCAGCAAGCAGCTGCTGGGGTTCTTTCTTGGGTCAGAAAATGACATCTTCACAGGCACAGTTCAAAACTTCACTTTTAGGCTACAGATAACATATTGCTTTAGAATCAAACTTAAAAATGCATATTTGGAATTCATAGACTTGCATTCTTAGTACTGGTTCATACATTGGCATGGTCTATAAATTATAAGTGATGCACAGGGCAGTCTCCAGTCTGATACTCATATGATCCAAATAAGTCATAAGTTCCTTGCCCCAAATAAATCAATAACCAGATAATAGGTCACAGCTCCCAGATTCTCTTTCCTTTTACAGCCAGGTGTTGGTTACCTGCTCATTTTGTTTCTCCAAAATTTCTAGATGCTCAAGTTGGACTTTCTTCAACTGATCCATTTCCTTTGATTGCTTCATTGCCAACTGTAAGCAAAACCAGAAAAGGGGAAAATGAAACATGCTTTTGGGTTATATGGGTTTTTAAAAGTAGTTCTCCCCAAAATGTTGCTTAGGAATAAGGGGACATAATGCCAAAAGGAGAAAAAGAAAAAAAGAAAAAAAAAGGATAATAAGGAACTTCCTGTGCTCTCCTTCATGTGATGTGAGCATTCTACAATTAAATGAAGTCTATCTTTATCTTGAGGAAATGCATTAAGAAGTGACTCTTTCATTTGAGGTACTCTATGTTTTTAGCTCTACTATATATAAAAATTGCTATTTTGCTAGAGAGAACATTCCCAAGAAAATTTGAGTGAGACACCTATATGGGGTGCGTATATTAGCATCCATTCCATTCTATAGAACATCTTAATTCTTCAGACTGATAGAATGGATCCAAAGGAAAACTCTGATTCTTATGAGGATTTCAATGTTCCTCTAAGAGGTATCTCTTCTGGAAATGACCTCAGTACGGGGCTCAACATAGCTAAACTGTGCACCTCATTAGGCTTATGTTGCTTTCTGACAAAGGCACTAAAAAGGCTTGGTCATGTCACCGCATAGGCTACAAATGTTCCACATCATTATATATACAACACCTGGTGCCATTGAACACATAACAAGTTCAATGCAATTATTTGATGAACCATTTGTTTGTGTCCTCACAATACCCTAAATCAGTGTTTCTCAACCTTGACAATTTTAAGGTATGTGGACTTCAACTCCCAGAATTCTACAGCCAGCAATGCTGGCTGTGGAATTCTGGGAGTTGAAGTCCACATGCCTTAAAATTGTCAAGGTTGAGAAACACTGCCCTAAATCATAAACCAAGCAAACAGGTTAAGTTCATGCAGGGTGCTGTGTCCTATCTCAGCACAACTAACATTCCAAAGCTGGAATGGGAAAATAATAAGAAAATGACGGCTGAATTTTGGGGTGGTGGGGAGGAGGATTGTGAGTTTGCATATTTTTATTTTTGTATCAATAATTTTCATGGTAGGAATTAAGCGTAAGAAACTGATCACCTGTCTGACCAATGCAAACAGTGTAAACTAGATTCATCACTTACTTATTGGATAAGGAGGAGTATTATCTATATAAACCAGTCTCTTCCAATTTCTAAAAATATTTGTGAAACAAAAAGAGCACTAGTCGAGAGACTCTTATATTGAATTTGGTGTCTTCATCTTTTTAATCTGTACAAATTTCAAGTTTTAGAATGTTTTTTTTTTTTTTTTTTATTGAAATTTTTCAAAAGTTTTACAAATAAAAATCCACCCCCCCCTCCCCAACCACCCCACCCCCCCCCGACTTCCCAGAACTGAATATAGGATTATTTAACAAATATTTTAAAAATAACATTTGCAATTTATAAAATAATTAATAATAATAATAAAAATCACAATAATAATATATATAATAAGTTTTAGAATGTTTAGAATATGCCTCAAAACAGGATGCATACAGATGAGATTGCTGGGGCTGGATTCAAACCAAAGCTGCTATTCTACATGCAATTGTCTACAACAGGGGTCTTCAAACTTGGCCCTTTTATGACTTGTGGACTTCAACTCCCAGAATTCCTCAGCCAGCGTGCCTGGCTGAGGAATTCTGGGAGTTGAAGTCCACAAGTCATAAAAGAGCCAAGTTCGAAGACCCCTGATCTACAACAACAGTTCACTTATTTCAGCCTTCCTTCTGAGACATTCCTATTCAGGTACTTTCAGTTAACAGTGTTCTCAGGGAAATCAACAGCAACAAAGGGTAGGGAGAAGTCCGTTCTGTTCCTCTCTTGATACAAATTTAACCAATGTGCATTTTCTGAACATATCCACAAATCAAAATTCAAATTGAGACCTGTATATTTCTGTATTTCACAATGTGAAATTAAAAATTACCTAATGAAGAGTATGAAATATAGAACACATATATTATATTCGGGGAGAGAAATTTCTAAATTAGGAAAGCACTTAGAGAAAAGCAAATATCTGATAAAAGACACATGAATATCCAATAGAACCAAGACAGGAAAAAAAAAAAAAGACAGATTATCTGCCTTCAGACTTTAGTTAGTCACAGATAACCTTTTCTGTGTGAATACATTAGACTGGACCCAAAGCCCTCAAATATTCCTTTTTTCAAGTCACAACTTCTAAAAATGCTTTATTGTGTTTATTTCATGAGCAGTTCCTATTTTCGCTCTACCTTCCGTCTTTCAATCTACTCAGTTTCATCAGTTCTTGGAAAACAATTCACAGATTTTTTTAAAAAAGTTTATGATATTTCAGATGATTAACTACTCACCCGTTTTCTTTCTTCCAGAAACTTCTTTGTATTACTGCTATTCAGCTCCCTCACCCGCCTATGAATGATATATTTATTACTAGTGTTATACGTAATATTAGTTGTATTACACATCAAAATGTCATTGAGAAAAAGAGCTAAGAGCTCTCCTCCTCCTCCTGGACTTCAGTTGTAGACCAGTATAAAATATATCAAATTACAATCATTCCAGAAATAAAAAGTTAAGGTTCACAATAAGTGACCGATAACAAAAATATAGGTATTATTCACAGAAAACCGAAATGCTTTCTAACTCTGAGATCTAACAATATGAATTATAGCTTTATTAGTATTACAGCAATAAGTATCAGCTATGGCAATATAGTACAGAAGATAAAACAACAGTATAAAATAAGTGAAATAAAACAAATAGACTAAAAATAACAGACCAAACTATCTAGTCTACCAAGGGAATAAACCAATCATTTATATCATTAGTATTAAACTGTAGATTTGGTTTCTTTAGTTAGATCTGAAATTAATCATGTAGAAGAGAGGAAAAAACATCCAACAGACCTAAACAGCAAGCAACAAAATGAAGAGGAATCCAAGGCTGAAATATAGACAGCACTGGCAAAGTTAAATCAAAGCATACAAGTCAACCTTTATTCCTGATAGGCCCAGTCTCAGAGACAAATGTTGTCACCTTACCTTGTATGTGTTAACTGGGTTTAAAGCTGATAAAAGGAAAGTTGATGTGAAAGGTATGGAAAGATGTTATGAATAAAGTTTGGGTACTATAGAAAGAATGTGTGCCAATAGCTCAAAAGATCCCAAAAAGTATGGATATAGATATTTAGGGCACCAGTGAATTTACCCTACATTATTCCAGATGGCATGACATTTAAATGAACCAAAAGATTTTTTTTTAAAGTTGGATTTTCAACTGCACAACAGTGGTGATTCTGCTATGCTGTATGTGAAATTAGGCAAACTTTAATTGCCCACAGTAAATCCAACACCAATCGCAATATATTATTAAGTCCGTCTTTTATTTTTATTTCTTACTATTATTGTTGTTTTAATGGTTTTATTTGCTGGTCTGCGACCATAACAAAGATTGAGTGAGTGAGTGATTCTGCTAAAGCCCATCTGTTTATTAATATCCCACGGTATTTTAATGGTTCTTTGGCTTTTGCATCTCCAAAGAATGCCGTATGAGATGTAGAAAAGTCACAGTTTATATTCCAGTGAAGTGTTGGAGTAATATTGCTTATGCAACGTTAAAGAGGCTACACCTTCAGCAGTTCCCATTACACAAGCATGCTTTGCAAAAATCCAGGTTTCTAAAGAGCCCCCTTTCTTTAGAAACTTGGGTTTTGCAAAGCATGCTTGTGTAATAGCATGCTGAAAGATTCTGATAATCGTAGAAAGGGCTCATTTCTCCAGTACCTAAACTCAAGAGCACAAAATACCTATCTATGAATCTGCCTAGCAACAAGTCATTGAATAGAATTGAGTGAAGCAAAGAAAGCAGTTGTTTCTGTGTCTAGACCACATTTCTCTCATCACCTTAGCTAGGGCTTTGGCTAGATCTAGTTGAGCGGGTTCAAGGGATGCATATGGAAGTGGAGATAGCTATGCTTAAGGAAATTAATAAGGCTTTATTGGGCCTCTGATTTCATTCTGGTATTGTATCTTTATTTAAAAACCTTTCATTTATCTTAAGAGCCCACGTATCTTATTTATTTATTTATTTATTTATTTATGAGACTTATATACCGCTTTAAGTGCAAGCACTCTCTAAGCGGTGTACACCAGTAAGCAATCTCCTCCCCCTGTCTCTTTCCTGATAGCTAACAGAGTGGGAGAGAACCCGTGGCTTAGAGGTTATAACATCTGCCTAACATGCAGATAGCCCAGGTTCGAATCTCAGAAGAGTAAGTTTGGCTGATGAGAGTTAAAGGAACTCGAAATAGCTATACCATTCTCTCTTTATTCTTTGTTAGCAAAACCTAAAAAAATGTAAAATGATGTCGCAGTTAGTGACTGCTGCTTGTGGATGGCTCTAGATTGAGCTGATACAGGCAAAAGAAAAGAAAAGAAAGAAGATTTCTTTCTCCCATATTTGGGCTGACAGGGTGTTCATTCAAGGTAAAAATCTCCTCCCCCTGTCTCTCTCCTGATAGCTAACAGAGTGGGAGAGAACCCGTGGCTTAGAGGTTATAACATCTGCCTAACATGCAGATAGCCCAGGTTCGAATCTCAGAAGAGTAAGTTTGGCTGATGAGAGTTAAAGGAACTCGAAATAGCTATACCATTCTCTCTTTATTCTTTGTTAGCAAAACCTAAATATATATATATATATATATATATATATATATATATATATATATATATATATATATATATATAGGTCTTTGGTTGTTCGGGTTTTCTCCCGCGTAAAATTGGAAGTGTCTTGGCAACGTTTCGACGAAGTCACATTCGTCATCTTCAGGCTGGTGGTTTTAGCTTCTTGCTTTGAGCAGCAATGTGTGGTTTTAGCTGTTTCTTCCTTTTAACTGCCAGTGAGGGTATGAACTGATTGGATGGAGAGCCGAAACACAGACCACCCTCAAGACAGATACACACACCAACAAACTCCGAAGACTACAAGAACGCCAGAAACAAACCCCTCCTCCCTCACAGCCACACATGAAACAAACAGTGCATAACATCTCAGATAGGATCCTCACCAAAGCCGAAACCAATGTCCTTTCCAAAGGATTCAACTTTGCAGTCGCTCCCAAACACATCCCCACTGAAACCATTATATGTGGAGTTGAAACCAGCCTGACCAAAATCAACCCCGATGACGCTAACAAAATCAGACTCAAAATCACCAACATCCTCTGCACCAGCAAGCCACCCAAAAGCAACTTACCCAAAGAGGAACAGACAGCACTACGTAACCTGAAAGAAGACACCAGCATAATAATCCTACCAGCAGACAAGGGCAACGCCACGGTGGTTATGAACACATCTGACTACCAAACCAAATTAACCAACCTACTCCAAGACTCCACATACAAACCCCTAAATACAGATCCCACCACCTACCTGGAAAAAACCACCAGAACCAAGATAAAAGCCTCCCCCATTAGCGAAGAGATCCAGCAAAGAATCATTCCCAGAGAGAAATCATCCAGATGCCCTAAACTCTATGGTCTCCCCAAGATACACAAAGAAGGAACCCCACTCAGACCTATAGTCAGCTCCATAGGCTCACCTCTACAAAACCTAGCCAAATTTCTCGCCAAACAACTACAGCCCTATGCAGAATCCATCACCTCACACGTAAAAAACTCATTCCAGTTTATAGAGATCATAAAGAAACAAAACTTACAGCCCAGCGACCTACTAGTGAGCTTCGATGTCATATCCCTCTTCACCCAAGTGCCTATCAAAGAAGCCTTGACAGCTATTCAAAACAAATATAACCCCCCCAAACACATCTTAGATCTGACCAACCACTGCCTATCCAACACATACTTCATCTATAACGGACAAAAATACAAACAAACAGAAGGAGCACCCATGGGATCACCCCTCTCACCTGTCATTGCCAACCTCTACATGGAACACTTTGAAACCCAAGCTCTAGAAAAATCGGATCACAAACCCAAACTCTGGCTCAGATACGTAGACGACACCTTCATAATCTGGCCACATGGGAAAGAAAAACTGGACAACTTCCTCACACACCTCAACAGCCTACACCCCAAAATACAGTTCACCATGGAAACAGAAGCTAACAACCAACTTCCCTTCCTGGATGTCTTAGTCTACAAGAAATCCAATGGCTCCCTAGGACACACCATCTACCAGAAGAAAACACACACAAACCGCTATCTGCACGCTCTCTCACACCACCACCCAGCACAGATCAACTCTGTAGCCAAGACACTCATCTCCAGAACAAAACGCTTAGCTGACGAACAACACCTAAAACCCGAACTACACACTCTCACCAATGTACTAACATCCAATGGATTCCATAGAAATAAGATTACAAACCTAATCCAAAAAGAAACCCCCACCAAAATCCAAGACAAAGAACAAGAAAACGGCAAAGCCCTCCTCCCATACATAAAAGGCACCACAGACAGAATCAGTAAGATCCTTCATAAACACAACATCAAAACAGCATTCTGCACAAACAGAAAAATATCCACCATCCTTAGAAACCCCAAAGATAAAATTGAATTAGAAAATCAAGGAGTATACGAAATCCCATGCACCACTTGTCCCACCACATACATCGGACAAACCAACAGAAGAATAAGTGCACGCATTGAAGAACATAAGAACTCAGTCAAAAAAGAGGAACCAACATCTTCCCTGGTCCAACACCTTAAAGCCACAGGACATGAAATTGACTTTAAAAATACCAGAACCATTGCCAAAAGTGAACATTTTAATAACAGAATAATCAGAGAAGCCATCGAGATAGAAAAACGCCCACACAGCATGAACAAGCGAGATGATACCTCCCGCCTACCAGCCATTTGGAAACCTGCCCTTATTGACAAACGACTCCCTAACCCCAAAATCTTAAACCCCTCTGCAACTCAGACTAACCTGAGCACAACCAAACAGAACACTCCCCCAGCCAATCAGAGCACAGCCAAGCCCCTAACCATTCAGAACACACCTCCACCCAATCAGAACACAGCCAAGCTCCCATCCAATCAGTTCATACCCTCACTGGCAGTTAAAAGGAAGAAACAGCTAAAACCACACATTGCTGCTCAAAGCAAGAAGCTAAAAACACCAGCCTGAAGATGACGAATGTGACTTCGTCGAAACGTTGCCAAGACACTTCCAATTTTACGCGGGAGAAAACCCGAACAACCAAAGACCTATATATATATATATTATATATATATATATATATATATATAATATATATTTACATTGCCCCCAACAATCTGGGTCCTCATTTTACCTACCTCGGAAGGATGGAAGGCTGAGTCAACCTTGAGCCGGTAAGATTTGAACCGCTGACCTGCTGAACACAGTCAGCTAAAGTGGCCTGCAGTACTGCACTCTAACTGCTGCGCCACCTCGGCATCTTGAATGTCTCCTCCTGTATTTTCACTTGGAAGAATTCCAATATTTGCAAAAGTACATATACTTTAGAAATACAGGAATGCTCCTCTCTCCCCAGGACAAAATAACCCCGGAAACCTTCAGCCAATTATTTATTGGAATGTTACTTGAATATAATGGAATTCACATTACATTTTTGAGGTGGGTTCCAACTGTATTAAGCAATAATGATTTATTGGGAAGGCAATTTTCTCTACACAAATTAAAGAAAGTAGCCCATGAATCTTCCCTATGAAAATTTATTCTATAATCAGCACAGCAATTACGTACCTTTCTCTTTCAGCTTTGTTTTTGATAGATTTATCTTGGCTTATGGCTTTACTGTTTTCCATTGAAATTTTTGCTTGGTTGGCACGCATTTCTTTACTTTCTCTAAAAAAAAGAAAAGAAAGAGAAAATCCTGGCATCTAAATTACCATTTTAAACATTCTAGACTGAGGATTATATTCCCTTTGTTTTGATCAGCCAGTCATTATGTTTATATAACCGACATCAGATTATTCTCAGCACTAGCAGAGAAATGGCTGCACCTTTTTTAAAATAATGGTCAGCTGACAGGATTTTTTTTTATTAGGTGAGCCTGGATAGTGATAAGAAATGCTTTCATCTCCTACATTCCCACATTGGGCTAAATTCAACCATTTCCAAGTGAACAAACAATAGAATAACAGTATATTATTATACTGACCTGTCATGGGAAAGCTTCAGTTGTTGTGTCTGCTGTTCATGCACATTAATTAACAGCTTCTTCAGTAGTTCACACTGCTGGCTAAGGTGCAGATCACGCATTTCTTGCTCTTCTGCGCTGTGGGTGTTGATCATCTCGGACCACTCTTTGGTGTGCTGCGCCACAATTTCCTTCACCTTTGAAGAAGAAAAGTTGGATCAGTATTTTCTCTTCATGACTTTTTAAGGTGGACAATGCAGGAGGTGCCGTTAAGAGTCATGCTAAATCCATGTTTTATGTCAACCCAGAAACTTGAGACTATACTAATCCCAATGTTCCCTGAATCAACTGATCGTTAAAGCACTTTTCCCTGTTTGCCCATGTTGTGGGAATCCCAAAACACTGGTCACTTCTGGCTAATAGACACCCAAGGCCCAGTCAAGTGTTGAAAAAAAATGAGTGGCTGGAAAATAAAACATTATGTTACAAAACATGTTAACAATGCCTGAACCATAGGAAATATCCCTCCAAACACTGATTGGCTGTAACGTCAACCCACATTCAGCCAATTAGGAAGGGCCACCGACATAAGGAAGTCAGCTCCTAGTATAAGGGCTCAAAGAATACTACAAACCCTTCCCCCAGATTCTCTCCTCCCACACACTAGTACTTTGAAGTTGAGATCTTGCCCCCTAGCTGTCCACCATACAAGGTGGAGGTCTACATTCCCTCTCTCATGTCTTACCTCAGGAAGGTTTTGTTAAATTATAGATGGGCAGCTCTACCCCATGCCCACGAGGCATATAAATTGGCACACACCCATTATCTATTGTTGTCTGGATAAGCTGGGTACCAACAGCCTCCACCAACAGCCTTCTCCTCACCCTCCACTGAAAGTGACAAGAAGACCAACTGCAGTCCATTATCCAGTTTGATGTGATGGAATATAGTATGGAGATGGATTCCCAGAGAAAGAGACACATTCCAAAGAGGCAACTCAATCCAGATATTATGTATAAGGGAAAGAGGGTGAAGGCAGCCCCTCCCTCATAATTTACAGAATATATTGTAGATACAGATAGTAGAGTGCTCAGTCTGGCACGATTTTGTCTATAGGTGTGAAACAATAAAGAACTCAGCTTGGAAGAAGCACCACATGTCATTCTTGGTTTTGGGCCTATCATTCAAAGTTCTTTCATCCGATATGGCTCTTCTGTCACCACTTAGGAATCATTTCAATTGTTTCTATAATCCATCTCATAAACCATCCAAATTCACAGCAACGGCAGCACTGAAAACAGGTGAACAGAACTCAGCCCTAGGAAACATGTTCCAAAGCCATTACTGACTTGTCTATTACACTCCCATCAATTCTTCTCCCAGCCTGTCAACAAACCATTTCTCTCTAATGGCAACGGTTGTGGCTGTAGCGAAGGCAGCAATTGCAGTTCTAATGACATCTGTTGCTCTCATAGCTCCTAGTTTGTGTTTTAGTCTCTCACCACATAGGAAGTCTGACAACAGGAACCCTCCAATGAAGTTGCTGGCCCCCTGTTCTGCTTAGACTTGGGATACCTTCTGCCTCGATTGCCTTTCCTTATTCTGCTTTTTACATGCTCTTAAATGTGGATCCTTAACCAGTTTGCTATGCAATGTACCACCCCATGTGGCTGCTCTGTTCTTCTCCACCACAGTATACAAGCCTTCCCTTGGGACCTCTTTTGACTCTGTCAGCTTCCCTTTAACTGCCATTCCTGTTTTCAGAAGATTGGGTCCCCCCCCCCTTCTCCTTGCTTTTATAATTTTTTTTATTTTCCTTCCAGCAATAGCTTTTTTTGATATTTCTCTTATTGTGCCGGGTTCTTTCTATTGATTTATCTCTTCTCGATTTCAACAACACTTAACCACTGTGTTCACCCAGATCTTTTCTAAACAGTCCCTCGGGCCATTTCCATCTGATTTTGTTTCTGTTCTTAATAGCAATAGACTTATATACAGCTTCACAGTGATTTACAGCCCTCTTTAAGCGGTTTACAGAGTCACCCTATTGTCCCCAACAATCTGGGTCCTCATTTTACCAACCTAGAAAGGATGGAAGGCTGACTCAATCTTGAGCTGGTAAGAATCGGCAGTCGGCAGAATTAGCCTGCAATACTGCAATTCTAACCACTGTGCCACTACAGCTCTTAACCTTAATCCTTCTTTTCTATGCCCCTGCCCACTCCCCCAAATTAAAAGCAGAGATGATGTACAAAAGTATATCCAGAAAAAAATGGGGAAACGTTAAAGTAGAACCTGTCATGGTGGCCCTTTTAATGGAATGTGGAATAATTTAGACCAGTATTAACTTTAAGATGTGTGGACTTCAATTCCTGGAATTCCCCAGCCAGCAAGTTTGAAAAACACTGTTTTAGACTGTGCTATGTGTAATTCCAATTTTAGCTAAACAAATCTATGAGTATAAAGAAAATACTTGTATATAAATGGAGGTGCTTGATCAGCATAGTATGAATGTGTGCTGTCAGATCTAACAGTAAGGAATTCAAGCAATGTGGGGTTAAGTAGTTTTATTCCAGTTTTATTTGCTGCCTTGCCCTCTCACTTTTTTTTCCAAAGTAGTCCTAAGAACCTGCAGTCTTTGTTCTTATTTCCTGGAGAACAAAACATATTTCTGACTTCTAGAAACGACTCTCACTATATGACAGTCATGTACTTAAATACATTATTAAATGGGCTCCTTTTGCTCTTACCTTTGATTTATGATCAGACGTTAACATCTGAACTTTACATTCTGTTTCTTTTTTCATCTCAAGACAATTATTTCCTCTAAACAAAAATAAAACAGAAATATTTCAAGTAAGCATTTCAAATTATTTTTTTCAAAGAAACCTCAGAAGATGAACCAAAGCTTGAAAAATGCTTATAAATGTAAGTTGAGTCTGCCACCATTATGAAGGTTTTCAAGAAAAGAACAGACAAGCATTTATCTGTGGAAGTATAAGAACCCTGTCTTGGTCAGGGGGCTGGTCCCAGTTGGCAATCTGTACAAGTATTAATAAGCATCCATATTTATTTTTAACACATAAGAGTACTTGAAAACATACATCCTGAGCATCTAACACAATACTTTAAGCAATCTTACTAATTCATCCGATAAAGAGAATTACAAATGGAGGTAACCCTGTCTGGTGCTTTCACTCCATAATGTGTAATTCTGGGATCAGCAGCTTTTTCAGATTTATTGTGAAATATTCTATACAGAATATTGTATGCAGATGTATTGTTGCAGCAACGATGATGATAGTGATGGTGATGTATGATCCAAATCTTGAAAGGGTGTTGACTATTGCAAGATTTTGGCCTCCTCACCTCGTATCTTACAAAATCCCAGGGAACAATATTAAAATCACATCTTGATCTTGTTGTATTTCAGCCATTTAATTTTAAAGCTTCTGGCTGCCCATCACAGCTTTACTCATATTATTAGTCTGGTGTTTCATCTATCAGAAAGAATCCAGGCAAGTCATGCTAATTTTGATGAGAGGAAGCATTGCCTTTATAGTGTCCACACAAAAAAAGCGCTGATTGTAATAGCAAGTAGATTTTTGTTTTTTCAATTAATATTCAGATGTTGACCTGATCAGTTAACCTGGTTAGACCAATGAAGCTTACATGAAAAATACACTATCCATTGGCAACTACACTTCATACTGTATTCCATAGGCTTTAAATACATTATCCGAACTATTTGCGTCAACAGAACCAAAAGACACTTGATGAGATGTTGGCTTCCATATGAAGACAGATATATGAGCAAATGTGTACCGGCTTTTATTATGAGTAACTTGGGTTTTTTTGTTAGCTTTCATGTGATGAGAATCTAAATATTCCATTAATGTAATGATTTTATAGATTAATTACTAATAATCTCTCCACGTCTATTTTCCCCCTTAAAAGAATGTGTCATTTTTAAATCTTTTAATCTGAACCGAATCTGCAAGACTTTTTGAGCCCCTTCCTTCCCTGGGGATCCCCACACTTAGAATACGTCTCAAGTACAACAGTACTTTGATCCATCTCTCAAGGTACATGAATGGAACTATACTTTTCTTTCTTGCCATCCAAAAATGTTGCTTTTTAAACAGGGCCATACCCTTTTTTCTTGATTGCTTTCTCAAGGAGTTTCTCATAAGCTAGCTTCTCTTTGTCATACTGGGCTACCATTTTGTCAACTTGTGTACAGTGTAACTTCTGCATGATGCTGTGCTCCTGCAATGGGGGAAAAAAAGGCACATTAGGCTACAATCTGAGTAGCAAGGCATTTAGATATTTGTGTTTCCACAGAAAAAGAGAGAGAGAAAAAAACCCCAAACCCTCACTACGACATCTTTCAAATCGTTTCAAAATGGCACAAACACCTTTTTTTATTCTATCAGGCTCCTAAATCAACAAACTCTCCTGAATGGGACTGTTATCTGAAGCAACTTCTTTCCCTATTTGCCTTGGACTTCTTTCCCTATTTACCTTGGGCAGGGGTAGGCAACCTGGGCTCTTTTATGACTTGTGGACTTTAACTCCCAGAATTCCTGAGCCAGGTTGCCTACCCCTAGGCCCTTGGCATGCCTCCCCTTCCTTCTCTTCCTCTACCTGGGTATTTGCAACTTTCAGAACTCACAACTGTTGCTAAGCAACCAAGGCTGTTGTGTAAATAGTAAATGAAAAACAAGTGTTTTCTTTTTTAACCCCTAAGTTGTTTTTTATTGCCTGGGAAGTACAACATCATTCCAATAAAACCTCTTTATACCCCTTCCTTTGACATTTCAGAAATTTAAACATTGCTGCAGGACAACGGTAGCCATATGCCCAACTATTTGTTCCAAGCTCTCGAATAAACATGCATAGGATGGCACTGAAAAAAGGATGCTGCAAAGAACCCAGAAAGAAAGGAATGAATTTTTTATTTTTGAAAGGAAGTTGTAAAATTTAAAACGGAATTTAAAACAGGTTGAGACTCCCTAGAAATCACTTACGAATCACTTTTTGTTTAAATTACCAATACTCAGGTATTATTATTTTTTTCTTGCATTCTGATTTGAAGCACCACTGGGGATGTGCAAAATAGTTAAAGCTCGGACTGGCCATTTTTACTTTTTCTAGATTGAAACAAAATGCTGCACGTTTTGAAAGTCTGTTCCAAACAGAACATACTATACAGCGTTGGACAAAATATATTGTTTTCAATATAGCTTTTAATGTTCCCAGGGCAGCAGGGATAACATAGTACAGAGCGGCCAAAAAGGCAAAGATGTGGGGAAGCTGAAAGGGAGATGAGCATACCAGGGTGGGAGAAGTGTGAGGACCTCATCTAATGACAGTGCGGGCCTGGCCTAACAACTGTAACATTAGGACTACAAAAAGTGATGGTGTGGTCATGGGATGTTTCACCTAATTACCACTTCACTTAGTTGTGGTTGTTCAGCAAAGACTATCTGTACTGCTTTGTGGTTAGGCTTTCAAGGTGAAAGCAGCCAGGCTGCTTCGTTTACCTGGGGGATTTTGTTGACATAGAAGTATATTTATAATTGGCCATGGGCAGTGCAAAAATTTAATCCACTGCTACTGTTTATTTGTGGAGTTCAGTCCTCCAGATAGTTGTGGCAGCAGACTAGGCTGCTGAACGGTAGTTAAAGGCTGCTTTCATTGTCTACTATAGGGATTTAAAAATATTTTTAATGTTTTAAAAAATAGAAGGCATCTTTGCCCTAGTTAAGTGGCAGACAACTCCCAAAATGGGCTGTTAGTCCAGCTCTGTTTGTGTTTCTAAGATGAAAGGAAAGGCAGGGCAAGTCTCAAGTTCCCGACCACAGAATTCTTGAAACAGATTGACTTGTTGCTCCATTGGAAGAATACTTGAAGCACTTTGAATTTTGTTCTATTGGAATATGGGATATTACCAAAACAGAATGTTCACAATAGGACTTTTTAATGCTGAGTTTGGAGCAAAATGGTTCCCCCCCCCATTTCATACATCTAGAAAGCATGGTTAGATTCCTAGGCGCAGTTTTTAATTTCTAATTATTTTTGAAAAAGGAAGAATAAAATAATCTTACTCTGTTGATGCTGAAGGGAATTACATATATATACTCTCAGTGCTTGTATTCAAAATGAATTCCTGATTCAGAACTTTTGAAATGTTATGCATGCCTTTTGTACTAGGCTACTGTTGATCGCTCTTAAGTTATGTAATTACAAATCAAATATTTTTGGTTAACTATCTAATCGACATTAGCTTAGCCTAAGAGTTAGAGAAGTAGAAGTCATGTACTGCTTCGTAAATTTCTTCTGGAGAACAGTAATGTTCCATAGAGTGAGTTCTATCTATGAAAAACGAAGCATACTTAAGAACCAGTGGCACACATTATTTTAATAAATGCTTTGCAAAGACTCATACTCCGTTTTAAAATTTAAGTACCCCAGCTCTGGAAAGAGAAAACAAAAGATATCCTACCTTGGCATGCCTCTTCTTCAAAGCAGTCAGCTCTTTTTGCTGTTTTTTCAAATGCTTTATATATGCCTGTTCCCCATTTAAAAAAAAAATGTTTTAAAACATCTAAACCAGAAAGTCTTGAAAACAGATGTCTTTATTTTAAAACTGACTCTGCACAATGCATAAAGTCAAAATTTTCAAAACCATGATTTACTTTAAGCCAGGTTTTCAGAAAGTGTTAAATCATATGAGAGTCACTCAGGACAGCGAGATGGGCAGCATATAAATTAAATAAACAAACAAAGAAACCAAAACCAAGAAATCACATTTTGGCTTTGAATGATGTGCAAAGCAATTCAAAACTCATTACATCTTTAAAAGGTTTTGAAAAATGGGGGAAATCAAGTTGTTATCTTTGAGCAATATGCAGAGATTTCATATAAATTCCTGTGGGCTGAGACTTAACAATAATGGAAACCTTTCTTTTCTGCCTTGCTATTTTACAGTCATTCTAGAATTCACTCTATAATGTGGGAGAAAAATGAAAAGCAAAGCATCAGGCACTAGATCCTAACTGCTCTTAACCACTTCTTCCTTTATCAGATTAAAAGGCTTCCCTAGAGTAAAATGAAAACCTTAATGGATTAAAGGCCAAGAAAAATGAAATCTTATTCTTATTTAATTATTTAATAAGGACACTTGGATTTTCAACCGCACATATCAGAAAACAAGTCATTCTCAAAAAAGAGACTGCTAAAATGAAACATAGATTTACCTTCATCTGTTTTAAGTCTTCTATCTTGATTTGAGGAATAAGATCGATACCTTAAAAATGGAGAGGAAAAACAAGAGAATGAGCATATTTTCAGTATTGTTACTTACTCTAATGTCACTTCATTGAATTATATACACTTGCTGAAAAGATATGCAGATTATTACAAAGGAAAATAAATATTTTCCCTTAACACTTCATAGATACTCTTACTATCTATCAGGTGAAACATGATACAGCGAGAAATCTGAATGCAGTAGCCGTCTAGATGTTTGCTTACCTTTCTTAATCTCTGTACCAGGTCCTGTACTGGAAATGGGATTTGATCTGACTTCAGAACTGGTCTGAGGAGTAACATTTGCTTTAGCATTATTAGTTTTCCCCTTCTTATCATTCTTCGATGTGTCATTTGGAACATCAGCTATGTCACTCTGTAAGAAATAAGGCCTTTTTAAAAAAACATACCATGGACAAATCTGGAAACACCAGGATGAAAGATTGCAAGCAGCCAGTGAAACTGAAACATAAACCAGGTGTCTAAGGGCAGGGTGCAAGAAGTCCAGTGTCATAGCACATGGCTGTCATTGATACATCTTGGTAATCATAATAACTGGGCCATCTCATTCCCTTTGTGCCATTAGTGCTGTGCAAAGGACAGTCAAGCAATGTTATGTGTTTCCCTCTTGTTTGCGCTAACTGGCTACATCTTCTTTCTCCCCACACATAAAATTCCACTTAACAAGACCACAGCTGGGAAAGGTAGAACAGCAATTAGAATCAAAAGAAGACTAATCAGAGGAACAAGGCTGGACAAGGCCTCTTACTAAAGGGCAGGGGAGACTAACAATAGCACAAAGGCTTGACTTTTTAAAGTGTGCTCTCTTCCTGTGGTAACTGTGGTCTACCAACTAGTACTGTGATTAGAGAAGATGAGGCGGCCCAAGAAGAGCAGATGGTGGTTGCCATGAACAGGTGGGAAATTCAGTGGTGAGAATCAGCCAGAGGGAGAGGACTACCTTATCCTGAGTCCAGGTTTACAACATCACCAGCCAACAGGCTCTGAAGTAGGTATTCTGCTGGCAAAGAATCATGGGATCATTTGATCTTGAGCCTAAAGATTCCTGCTGTATTTTCTGCACCGACTACAAGGCTCAGTCCACCAAGGGCCGGGATGCTGTATGTCTTATGTAGGGGATGTTTAACACCCATCGAAGCATTATCCAAGAATCCTTGCTACTATTGGTAATGATAGAGAACTTAAGCTAACTAGAGGGCACCCACTATCAAACAGAATGTGTGCGTGTGTGTGTGCGCGCAGGCGTGTGTATTCACATTTCCAAATTGCCATCTCCCTCAAATAGGTCACTTAAGAGTGGCTGAAGAAATTATTAGCAGGCAAACAATAGGCAAATAAACAGCAAACTATTGCTAAAGTTCAAGGTATAATATTATATTAATGGCATTCTCAGGAGTTTGAAACAGGTCCTCATGTACTTAAAATTAGCATTGCCTATGCCAGAAACACCCCCCCCACACACACACACACAAGCTGCAGTAACCTGACAAAGGGCAATCAGCAATAACAGAAACATTACATACTAAAAGAAGTGTGGCCACTTTCATTGTTCACCTTTATTACTAGTATGCTCTCCATTTCAATTCAAAAACTTATGGACTTAATATTCAAAGACTCTGAAATGACTCATATTGCTTAGCACAGAGCTAGATAACTTTTTATATTTAGTGGCTTTACTACTTCTAAGTTAATATTTTGGCAGCCATGATCGTGATACTAATGCAATAATGCAGTTTTGGGGAAGGGTTAGATGTATTACTATTAGAGTATTAAGCCTCTTAGTGGCTTAACATGTTTGCTATACTTAATTTCTTCTTGGAGAAGCGTATCAAAATTTGCTGCCAATTGTGGTGGTACAATTTTGTGAGAGACTTTGGGGTCATAAGGGTTTTTCCAGGCTGCTTAATAGGCAGTGCCCCAGATGTTCCCCTTTTCTAGCCTAAATCCTGGATCACAAACTTACCATTTCATCTTAAGAGGCAAACCCTATTTATTTAGACCTAGATGCTTCCCGATTCCAACTGATTCTGGGCGGTTCACAGTATAAATGCAAAATGACAAATATATATATATGTAAAAGATAAAGCATAAAACAATAACAAGATGACAGATCTGGTCATCAATAACAAAGCATCCTGTACCCAATAAAAGGCCTAAATTACTGTAAAAGGAGAGATTGGAAATTATTTGGTAGCATTTCTGAAAACTATTTTTATTTTAAGGTACAAGCTCCCTTCATCAGAGTGGCCTTATTGAAATAGGATTAAATTACATAGGGATGGAGAGGAGTAGCGAGAGGGAAAACATGGTAATAATGCAGGTGAAGGTTCTAGGGGGGACAGATTACAAGCGCCTTATCAGTTAATGCTTGTAATGTGTAAAAAACTCACTGTGTTTGTTCTAAACATCTGTAAGCCTGAATTTTATTTGGTGGTGGTGGTGGTAATTCCCAAATTGCTACTTTGAGATATGTCCTGGAAAGCTAAAATACTTTGCTATAACTCTGTCCTAGTTTTGCGTCCTGATATATTAAATTTGCATTTCTTAGTTCTTTTATTCTGTTTGTCCTATGTAGAATCCAGAGTAGTATTGCTGGAACACAAAACTAGATTACAGGAAGAGCACCAGAAGCTGCCTCCAGCCATCTCCTTTGAAACTTACAGTACCTTCTAAACTCCTGATAATATAAATAATGTTTAATTTTAGCCACAGAAAAGCCAACCAATGTTGTCTGTCACTCTAATCTTTTAAATATTCTGCTAAAAGAGGCTTCTAGAAAAAAAAATGCAAATCAATTCCATATCCAAGGTTAATTTGTCCTCCTTACCGTTTCAATTCCCATAGCTCTCATCTGGTCTGCTCTTTTCTCCATGACAGATAAAAATTTCTTTGGATCTGACAAGGCATCCACAATATCTAAAAAGGAATTTAAATAAGTAAAGCTATTTTCAACTTCAGATCCCTTTAAAGCCCATCACATAATTCCTACAAACGGCTCTGCTTAATTTTATCATGCATTACTGTCTCCCTAATCGTGAGAAGTGATAAAATGGAAAGTCTTCATAAAGCTATGAGATGCAGAAGCATAGGGCCTGTAACAGGTTCCATCAGCTTAAGAGAAATAATATGAAAAAAAGTAAGGAGCACACAAACACACTCCCACAGCGCTTCTTTATGCTAGGGAGACAATTTGTTCTGAGCACTACTATATACTGTATACATATGTTTGTGGGTGTGCATGTGAGTGTGTATGTGTGAGAGCATATATGTGCAGACACCCCCAACATCTTGCTTTCTTCCTATGCGGAAAGGCCAAATACTGCATTTGCAAGATAAAGTAATTCTTCTCCCCATGTCAGAATATTTATCAGGGAATTATGTACTTTGCTGGACCTCTCTCTGACATTTCATCTCTAGAGGCTTTGTAAAATGCTCTCGTTTTTTTTTTTAAAAAAACAAACAATAGACACAAAAACTTCACACAAAACCTCTTACTACAAATGCGTGCTCCATCTTGCAATAATTCCAGAAATATTCCCAACAGTCTACACGCTATTCAAATCTTATTTCAATACACACAATCACAACATTATAGATAGAAGCAAAAAAAAAAAAAACTACTTGAATTTTATTGGGGGCAGAAGAATAGTAACTTTAGGCTCCATTCTGTTTAATACCATCCTATTGTGTTGTTGTCCAAAGAGATCATCAGCCCCCTTTTTCACTTTGCTTACTAAAAAAATAGCTACCTTGAAGAACCAGGCATTGAGCAGACAGGGGTGAAGGGTTTTTTTCTCATTAAGTTCACCATTATAAGAGACAAGGTAAAATGAGTGTTTCCAAACTGAGCCTTCATGGCTATTATACTAAGCTATCCTGGATCCTTGGACTTGGAGAAAGAATGAGATAAAAGAATATCTTGAGAGTCAGAGAAATGGATAGACCATTCATTTTCATTTTTCCAGAGGGATGAAAAATTCCCCAACAATTTCTCAAGGACAAAATTTCCCTATATTGTTGACATTCGTACCATTACTTAAAAAAAAAAAGCCAAGATATGTCTTTCCTTGGTTTAATGAAATATGGGAAGCCCTGGAGGTTAGAGATCACTAAACAGTGTTTTATCAATTGACTTAATGCCATCTGATAATGATAATCTTTCCAATTGCAGATCAAATTGGGACCAATCGTAACTGTCAAAGGAATGCATTCCTTAGCTTAGGAGCATCATTCATTCATTCAATTTGTATGAACACCCATCTCAAATTAGCAGCAATCAGGCAATATAGGCAAATTCCATTTCCCCCATGCCAAAAAGCTTCTGTAAATGGGAAGCATGCTCCTTAGAAAGGGATCCTATCTTTCATTTCCAACTTCAATCTGCAAATAGGATTACTCTGCACTCATTGCATTGGGACTGGGAAAAAAAATGTGATAAATTTCCAGGTCCATTGCAAATCTTTCCCATAATGAGAAATATTCAAGACTCTTGGATGGTTGGGTAATTACAGTCATGGGACAAGGGTTACAGTAGCTACAGGAAAGATATAAAGCAGATGGAACTACATCGCATCTTAGGCTGAGCTAAGATACTCTGCTGGACAGTTGGGGAGGATGACAGAGTGTATATATGTGTGAGTCTGAATTTTTAAAGCATGTTATGCTGATTTTAATACTTGCATAAAGTTTCTGTGAGCTTCCCACCTCAATAGGTCATTACATGCATTATCCATTTTTGCTAGCCCAGCTGAAAGGTATAGAAAGGGGGTTGAGGACTGATAGGGCTGAGTTTTTGAATTGTGCGGCAAAACCATCCACAATCCTTCCCAACTAATTTGCTCCAAATAAAAGATATGATTGAAGCATTTACCTCCAAAACCATCAGGCACGTAAGTTTTAAGTACAATGTTGCAGAAAACTGTTGGCAGAGACAATGGCTTGTTGCCTTCATTTCGAAGGGAAATGTGTCGATAGCCTGCCTGAAGCCCATCCAGTGGCAATATCCTTTGACCAATCAACCTGTTGTTGTCATCATAAACTGCTATCCTCAAGACGGCAAGATCTGGTAGAATCACCTAAGAAACCCCAGAATGAAGGTGGTTATTCAGGTTCATCAGAGAGCACATTCCGACTTTGTAATTGTTGAAGAAACCCAGCATTCCCATCTGGAACCAGGTTCTAACAGATCATCCCATAGGGATGTTTGATTACATATTTACAATATCATTAGGCTTTCTTGAACAACACCTTTGGTGGCGCTATGTGTTAATGTTACACAGAATATATTAGTAGTGGATATTGATTTATGCCTCTGAAAATAGTCAATCAACGTTATTTAATTCTGTTAAGTTTGCTTTTCTTTCTAAAAATGAAAACTCCAGAAGTTCGGAAGAATAAAAATAAATGGTGATTAAAATAAATGAATCTTCAAAAGATGAAGGTTACTTTGGTCTGATGAGTACTCAGTCCTATTCTGGTAGCACAGGGTTGCTTTCTCCAAAGAGGTCCCCATTCTGTTCTCCAAAATATCTACATTTTATTAGCTATGAAATTCATCTGTGTCATGCACCCTGACAGAAATATAATCTTTGATGGACGAAAACACTATTTTCTTCCTTAGCAGGCAAAGCCAGTCTGAAGGATTCTCATGCAGGAAAGAGATAATGTTCCAATAGAAGAGAATAGGTTGAACTGTGGAGTCCTTAGTGCTCTCTGAACTTGGTTGTTAGCTTGCAGACATTTCATTACCCAACTAGGTAATACCATCAGTGCTAGGAGTGTGGGGTTCGCTCCTTGTTTATATAGTAGCAGGAGGAAACAAAAAGATCAGAACACATCCTCTAGTAGTCAATATGCAGATAAGCAGGGAATAGCACCAGGCAAATGACCAAACAGAAATATCCTAATCAAGGAACTACCAAGCAGAAAACCACACCCCCATTAACAATGGCAAGGCAAGCTACTGCACATGAACAAGGAGCAAATTACACACTCACTAGCACTGATGAAGTTACCTAGGCGGGTAATAAAAAAAGTCTGCAAGCAAACACTCAAGCTCACGGAGCACCAAAGACCCCATGAGCGATAATGTTTCTAACTATCAAATATTGTCCACATAAAGAGTTGGACCTTATTTATCAAATTTAGCTACCCACTCACAGGGAGACTCAGGCTTATCATGCGATTGGTGGGAAAACAGTGTATAAAGCTCCTCATAGTACTATACTAAAGAGTAGTATTTTTTTAGATGGAATTGCAATCCTACTTTCCTCCCCAAATATTTACAGCCAACATTCTAAACTCTCTAATCCAAAAAAGATTAAGATAAAGTTATAAAGATAAGCGATCCCCAACTTTTGTTCCCAAATAAGGGGAAAAAATTAGGAGGAATTTCCTTCTAAACAATGTGTGACTTCATCTAAACTAACAGCTAAAAGTGCTCATCTGTATGTGATTTTATAAAAGGTAACGTGTAGTTTTCACAGCATTTGTTCAAGTTGCAACAATAGTGATTGTAAAGAAGCTAAGTGGATATAGGTCTTTTCTATTTCTCAAATTGCAGAGGACAATGCAAACAAGTTAATCTTCTTTCCTCCAATGGATTCTACTAACAGAACCATTGCTTACTTGCCGAACAAAGTATGAAAATAAAAAAGAGCATTGCTTAACACATTGTAACACCAGATTCCATTAATGGAAGACAAGAAAATCATTTTTTTCTAGCTAATGCAGATAATTAGTGTTGGCATTGTAATCATAGCCTGGGTCCCTTCTGACATCATTCCACAGCAAGAATGAGATATCTCAAAATACTTTAGTTAGAGCAAATGCAAAATTGTCTGAAGGAGGAAAACTTGGCAGTAGCCTCTGTCAAGACTGGATTGAATAATAATCTCAAATTGCAGGTAAAATATCTTAAAGGATTAAAAAGATTTCTAAAGACACGAATATTAAATATTATATTAAAATATTTCCTATCATAAGGCTCTTTAAAACTTTTTCCCTTAGAAGCTGATATTTTCTATACTTTTAAGTTATTCACACTTTATTTTTTGATATATACATTTCCAGAATATAAGCAATCCCTTCTGCTGGCTGCCTGTTAAAGGAAAGATTCAATGGTATTTAAGGTAGCCTTGTCCAGCTTTTGCGTTCTGCAATTACAAAGGGCCCCAAAGGATTAGGCTATTATTTGGCAACTAATAAGAAATATATCAACTAGCATACATAGTTAAATATAGCAAGACTGATCCAACATAAATATCAAAATATCATTGTCACAATTGAGTAAAAGCTCACAGAAGAATAACGACACAGAATATGTATTACAACAGCAGTTTTATTTTTTTTTAAAAAAAAACACAGGTGGACAATAAAACACAATTTACACATACGTAGTCCTCGACTTACGACCAGAATTGAGCCCAAAATTTATGTTGCTAAGTGAGACAGTTGTTAAGTAAATTTTGTCCCATTTTACAATCTTTCTTGCCACTGTTGTTAAATGAATCACTGCAGCTGTTAAGTTAATAACACAGCTAATAAGCGAGTCTGGCTTCCCCCACTGACTTTGCTTGTCAGAAGATCACAAATAGTGATCCCATGATCCCAGGACACTGCAACCGTCATAAATATGAGTCGATTGCCGAGTGTCTGACTTTTGATCACGTGCTGCTGCAACAGATGCTGCAACCACGGGGATGCTGCAACAGTTGTGTGAAAAATGGTCACAAAGTCACCTTCTTCAGTGAGGTTGTAACTTTGGTCACTAAATGAACTGTTGTAAGTCCAGGACTACCTGCACCTCCTAAGCATTTGCATGAGATTCATGCTACCTAAGTAGTTAATAAACAATCCTAACTCTACCGTTATTACACAATTCTCCTGGTATGAAGCCCTCGGTCTGTGCACTTTTTCTGATATATTCCAAATGTTATTAGATTAGCTATCAGTTGCATAAACCTTGGGTCATGCTACTGTGATGCTTTACATTTGGCATTAGCTCCCAACCGTAACTAAATTAGGCACGATACTAGCCAGAAAAATACATCACAAAGAAAAAAAAAAAGCAGGTAACTGTTCTGCATTCTAGACAACAGAACAGGCAAAAGAATAGAAGACATTGTCAATGACGGCACCATTAACAGACACACTTCTGGATAAACTTTAGTTGACAAAAATTTTTTTTTAAAAAAAGTAGAATGGGATAGAAAAAAAAACTAGACACCAGGGATTGCCCTTAAGAGTGAATCTGCATGTGCATTTTGACAAATCTTTATAAGTAGCTTGAGGGGCTAATGATTATGTAGGTGCAAGCAGCATGATGCAGCTTAACCATGTTTTGCTGAACTTGGCATTTCTTCAGAATGAAATGAAATCTGCGTGCTTGCATGGAAGATATACATTTGGAAAGTCCCCTTATTAAAAAAAATAAAATAAAATCCCTTGCTGGGTTATTAATAAAATTAGACTAGAGGTTTTCCTCCTAGTTATTTTCATTTGCAAGAAGCTCTTCTACAATTAGCACCTCAACAATTTTGTCACAAGGTGGTACAGAAAGAGCACACACATGCCTTATAGGGACGAAAGTAAGAGAAGGTCCACTGAATCAGCCCCAAACTCTTCTTAGTTCAATATTCGCTTTTCCTGTTGATGCCTACAGGGAAGCCAGAAGACTGCAAATGATATGGAGAGGCTTACTGTCTGCAACACTACCAACAATATACAGGCCACACGCTTGCTAGCTGTCAATGACTTTGTCCTCCATGAATATTGCTTAATTTCCTTTTAAAACTATTTAATTTATTGGCCGTCGCTACATCTTATGACAGCAGATTACAGTTCAATTGAGCATTGCATGGAAAAATCTCGAACGCCTTATGAACCTCCTATCACATAGTATCATTAGATGACCCTAAGGGTAGTACTGAGTAAAGGAGGAAAACATCTCCATCCACTTTCTCTGCACCAGGCAGAATTCTGCACATCTGTCGCCTCTGACTTGCCTTATTTCTACGCTTTAAGCCCTGCCCGATGCTGAAACCTCTATTCAGAGAGAGGAAGTGTCTCCCCATTGTCATTTGGGTAGCCCTTTTTGGTTCTCTAGTTTTCAGAATGATGCATGACTTCCAAATTTGGATCAGCACAGGGATGTGTATTATTTTCGAGTCCTATTTTCCTGATTCCAAACACAGATTTTACCACTTTCACATAAGCGAAAATGTTCACATGAGCTTCCTGCACTGTACCACCTTGTTCTGGCGCAGACTTAAAAGCCAGCCCAAGAATATGCAATGTTCCTCCTGAAAACATGGCCCCTTGCAGCTAGGGTGATGGGAACATTTTGTAAAATGGCACAAGTAAACTCACCCCTAGAACTCCAAATGGTGTCTAGTGAACACTTGTGTGTGGAAGAGAGAAGAGATGTACACGACGCAGACAGGACGAGGGAGCCAGCCTCAGATGCAGAGGCAGCAGCCCCTGACTGAATCCACGTAATGACATTGACCTTAGCTTTGGATGCCGGGTCTCACCTGCCCTCATGGCTGAAGGAACAGTGCAAGATAGGCAGGGCACTGCCAGGGCAGGGAAGAAGTTGTACTCTCCAAGGAAGGCAGAGGTTCCCCCAGCTGGAGCTCATTCTGAGCAGACTGCATACCTGGAACACAGGCATAGCCATAGCCACGAACGAGGCTGTTCCTCCAAGAGGGAGGAAGAAGAGGAGGAGGAAGCAAGAAGAGGGAAAAGCCAAACAGAAAAATAAAAATCATATGACAGCTACAAGAGTTTCCGTTCAAAAAAAAAATAAATTCCAGATTTAGTTAACTCTATCCCATGACAAAAAGTGGTATCATGGTAGATGAAGGGAAAGCGCTAGCAAGACCTGCTCTCCTAAATCAGCCTTCCCCAAACCATTATTTTACTGAAGTGATGTGCCTGCAATGCCCAGAATTGAAATTTCAGCTGAGCATTTGGGGAGTGGTCAACTCAACGCTGTTGTTGAGGGGACATCAGATTGGTGGGTCTTTTCCTAAAAAGTTCCTTGTTTCAGGAAAAGTGTTGAGGCAAAGTGTTATTCATAAAACCTCAAAGGTATTTTCAGGCATCTGAAATACATACCTTTCGGAACACAAAGCACTCTTCGTTGTAAACAGGATTTAAGCCATTGTTCATCACCATCCGTGTTCGGAATTCCTTACGTATTGTATCAGTGGGAAGACCATACATATCCACCTCTACGTAAGTACCAATTTTTTTGTCTGATAAAAATTGACCAGATATGACCTTGAAATGGAAGCATAAGAATGTTCAGTCCAATGAGAAATTTAATATAGTCAAGTGTATATCAGTGTTTAGTGTTATTCATATGTATGAATAAATATATATTAATATATGAATAATAGAGTTAGAAGGGATCTTGGATGTCTTCTAGTCCAACCCCCTGCTCAGGCAGAAAACCCTATACCATTTCAGACAAATGGGTGTCCAGTCTCTTCTTAAAAACTTCCAGTGTTGGAGCATTCACTGCTTCTGGAGGCAGGTTGTTCCACTGGTTAATTGTTCTAAACTGTCAGGAAATTTCTCCTTAGTTCGAGGTTGCTTCTCTCCTTGATTAGTTTCCATCCATTGTTTCTTGTCCTGCCTTCAGGTGCTTTGGAGAATAGCTTGACTCCCTCTTCTTTGTGGCAATCCCTTATATATATAAACATCTCATACTTATTTCAATTGTTTATGACCTGTGGCCCTTACTTTATATTTTAAAACAGCTTCAGGTATCTGGGGTCAAGTAGCATATTTCAAGCATTCTTTTCTACACTGCGCAGCTTCCTACCTGCACTGAACAAGTCGCTGCAATAACACCATCCACAGGAGTCTCAGAAAAAGGGTCAAATGTCCGATCAGGACGCCGCATGAAATCTGGTTTAAGAAGATAACTTTAAAAAAAAATCAAAACGCACATGTTTAGATAAAACTACTTATGTTTCCCTTTTAATCCCTTTTAAATTAAATACCATTATTGTTATTAGTTATCTTGCAAGTCATATGTAGAAAGCATATAATCAGCTGAAAATAAATCATGGAAGAGTATTGTTTTTAGAATGCATATCCAAGGTAGAAAAACTAAATTTTACTCACTGAATGGTGAAAAGAAAAACCTACAGTAACCAGAATGAGATAATACATCGTATGAATTCATCCCACCTGAAACATTTCCTTTATGAAATTAAATTCAAGGTACACATTCAAAATTACACTAATTTAGGTAACTAAACAAGTAGGTGACAGGATTTTCTAGCTAATGATTAGCTGAATAATTTAACCATTTCAATATGGTATATATATTTTTCCTGCTGCGCATCCTTTGGTTGGGCTGGGACTTTCACAGTACATCCATAAGACATGTGGCTATCTTCTGGGCTAAAGAATTTTAAAGCTAGAATCCATTTCAGTATCAGCTGGTTTTTCCCTCCCTTTTTTGACATGAAAAAAGTATTCATCAAAACTTTTTCCAACCACTGGAACTGCCAAATCAGTCTTTTGTGGTGATGAGAACCCAAACTTCGTGAAAATTCTAATCACCACGGCAATGATAATCATATAGCCTTTGGGACACAAAGGACTTTGTAGAAATGAAGCCTAGCCATTTTGTCCAAGGCCTAATTTTTTTCTTTGGCCTAGACAAGGTGGGTGAGACTAACCTGCCCTGTTCTGATTCATGACTTCAATGCAAACTTCTGATTGTATTGAATTCTGCTGAACAGAACAAAAAACAAAAACAAATCCAGCAGCTGCATCAAAAGGAAATAAAGATAGATCCTTAATATTCATAGTGGTTCTGTTCCAGTATAAAATCATAAATTATGAAACTGCAAATAACCAGGCCATGAATCTGTGGGAAGGACCGGGCTAGTTTTTGGTTTGATTAGCTTACAGTCATTCTTTTCATACTTCCTTCTTTCCTTTCTCTCCCAGTGTATAAAATGCATTTGTTCTATATATACTAAACTCAGTGGGAAAATCCAAAGCCAAGAATATGAATCCCACTTCATAGTTCAGTTTCTTTTCCAGATCATTTCCATAGTTTTTCACAAATTCAGTTATTTCCAATTCCCACACATTCTTTCCCATATTCGCATATAAAGATATACCATCTCTCTCTTTGGAAAATAGAGTATACACCCAGAAAGTTGATACACACGGAATTTTTTAATTACTCATAGTTATTTATCAAACTTATAGAGAGCAGCCATATCAGTATATTACTATAGGGAGCAGCTCTGATAAACTTTCAAGAAACTTGGAAGCTTCTATGTTGCCTTCTTTAATTTACTGTTGGGGATTAACTTTTTATTAGTCAGTGAAGAAATTAGCACTCAGTTTGACATGGGACCTAAGTTATATTTTCAAGAATGTTACATTTAAAAAAAAATCTGTTGCTCAAATTATTATCTGCATTAATAGATCTGGTTTTCTCACTTTGTTATATTCCAGGCTTGGGATCCCTTTCCAAAAGATACAAAGGACAAAGTTACATTACATTTTGTATTTCTTTTGAAAGGTTTTTAAAAAATATTCTATATACCACAAACCTCTTAGGTCACAATTTCAACAAGTTTCAGTTAAATAAATAAACTAGCAGAGAAGATACAAGAGGTAACCTGAAATGCCCTGTTTGCAAGAAAATATCTTGGGTTTTTAAATGTACATCTCTGGGCATGTTGCAGCAGAAAGTACAGTAATATGATAAAGATCTTGATCTTTGAGAGAAGTTGCACATCTTTGGGGGGGGGATGAATATCTGTGTGCCCAAATGGCACCTATCTAGCATTATACAACTTATTCTGCCAGCATTCAGCTGGGAGTTTAGGTCAAAACTAGTTCAACTTTTGTATTGCAATTGATAGTATAGAATAGTATAGAATAACAGAATTGGAAGGGACCTTGGAGGTCTTCTAGTCCAACCTCCTGCTCAGGCAGGAAAACCCATACCATTTCAGACAAATGGCTGTCCAGTCTCTTCCAGTGTTGGAGCATTCACAACTTCTGGAGGCAGGTTGTTCCACTGGTTAATTGTTCTAATTGTCAGGAAATTTCTCCTTAGTTCTAGATTGCTTCTCTCCTTGATTAGTTTCCATCCATTGCTTCTTGTCCTGCCCTCAGTTGCTTTGGAGAATAGCAACCCGAGATATTGGAACACTGCTATCATGTCATCCTTAGTCCTTCTTTTTATTAAACTAGACTTACCCAATAGCAGATACATCTTGAAGACAAAAGCTGCTTAATAATAATAATAAAAAAAAATCTCAAGGAAAACTGATCTGTATTTCAAATCCCAAACCTTTGCACTTTAGGTGATCATCTTCAGCTGGGAACAATGGGGACTATTAGCCAAATAAGGGAGACAACAGAAGGGAAACTGAATTACTAGTAACAGGAAAAGCCTCCACATTCCAAATGGCCCAAATTTAGGTTTCTAAATCTAAATTTGCTAGACAGCTCTGATTTTCCACTCATAACAACATTTCATGAGTTTAAAAAAAAAATCACAGCTGCCTAGCAAATTTAGATTTAGAAATTTAAATTTGGGTGTTTGGGAATGTGGATATAAAACTCTACTACCTTGTACCTTACCGCTTTATTTGCAAAATGTGGTTCCTTTTTTGCTGCTCACCCTCTCCTCCCCCTTCAGGGACAGATCTTCCAGATTCTTTTCATAAAATAGAACACCAGACTGAATTTCTACAGCCTGTTTTTCATTTACAGCACATAATTAAAAGTGACATTGTTCTATATAATGGCAGCTGTTAAACATTGTTACTTACCCACAAGACCCATTATACTCAAATTTCCCCTGATTCAACTGCATTGCTAGATCTGTGAAGAGGTAAAAATAGTTTAAATTTTATTACTGAGCAATACCTATCTGGGCAGTCTTTTTAAACTAAAAAAACACAATTTATCCTGGATAGCGAATTTAGTTAAAATACTAATTCCACACATTCCTTGAAAGCAAAGGACACGTTATCCTAATTCAGTAGAAAAGTGCAAAATATATTCATCGTAAGTTGCTGGTCCTTCAATTTTTTTTGTGAAATAAGAAATTCTAAAAAGGTGTAATTAAAAGACTGCATCCTCTTTTATATCATCTCCATCTCTCCACTCTGAAGATATGGATTTATTAAGTGAACAGGAACATTCTATAGACTAGGACAATGGTCAATATTGGACATGGTTGGTCATATTGGACTACAATATTGGATTAGCAATCCTTACACATCTGATCATTATTTTCCAATAAGAGTAAGGAGCCCTTCTGTTATGAAACATTGTTCAGTGATAGAACTTGACAGACCTCAAACCACCTTTCATATGGTGATAGTTAACATGGCTACTTTGTTGATTCTTCAGTGGATTCTAAATATCAATCCACAGATGTTTTTGGTGGAACCAAGTCACGAGGATGTATTTCTATTGCCCTTCATGACAAACAACAAGCAAGAGCACACCTTTAACACACTAAAGAAAGCAACACCTAATAATATGATGATTTCTTCTTTTTGGAGAAGCAACTGGCTTCAATACTAGCTAGTTAATCACCATTATTTCACTCACTACAAAGAAAAGAAACAAGTTCTCTGGCTTAACATAACGTTTTAATTGTAGTTCCTAGTATTGTCCCTTATGTTTTTACTCAGAAATGATTCTTAATAATTGTTCCAGAAAGTCTGTCCGTCCGTCCGTCCGTCTGTCCGTCCATCCTATCTATCTATCTATCTATCTATCTATCTATCTATCTATCTATCTATCTATCTATCTATCTATCTATCTATCTATCGTCCAGTTTTATGCTGATGTACAAAGACATGCAGAAAAGGGTGCATATATGTTTTACTGCTTTCAATCTAATTGTCTGCCTGGCTGGATGTAGATATTTATATTTAACCATGTGAATGAATCCTCCAGCAATGCCAGGAGCAAACGTTGCAGCATCTGGCAGAAAGCTCCTACTCAAGCTGCCATTCTCTGAGATTTAGAGTCGGTGGGTATCTGCTTACCTGGGGTCTGATAGTTAAGGGAGACCATCTGGCATCCAGCGTTCCAGAAAATTTGAGGCATGTAATTGCTGGAATCTACTCTGCCTCCCTTTGGGTATATCCGACTCATTTGCCGCTTATTGTAGCTGTATTATTAGTCAAGAAAATTGGAATAACCAAACAAACAAGAGGTAGAATGATCCTATCTTCACATCTTAATTTTTTAAATGTTTTAATTCATGAGGCATTTTTCACAAAGTATATACTGTACTGTGTTTTATTAAGTACTGTTAGTTGCAGAATTGGCTTCTTGCTTCTTAAGACTAAATAGCCTCATTAGAACTGCCTCAATGCAAGGATACTTCACAAATTCAATTGCGTGGGTCTTCAAATAGCCCAACCCGACAGACTCATTAAAAGAGGACATGTTGTAGTGAATGTTGCGTTCTAGAAAGAAAATCATAAAATCTGTTTTGTAAAATTTTCAGAATGAAAAGTTGATTAGGAGAGTATTAAAATATTCCGTATAAAAACATATTTATTACAAAAATGAGATTGAAAGATATGCCCAACAAAGAAATTACAGAAATCCACATAAAGTATAAATATGAAATAACAATATTTATCTCCTAGAACTGACAGCCAGATTAATTGGGACAAGAAATGAGGTAGAAATGATTAATTAAGCTCAAGAAGTAGAACAGCATGAAATAATAAAAAAAGATGTTTTTAAGTCAGAAAAAGAATAAAAATCACAGGTAAACTTCAGATACCTAGGATCTAGAGAGTGCTTGCACTTAAAGCGGTATATAAGTTTCATAAATAAATAAATAAATAAATTTAATGGAAGAGAGAATAGCAGAAAATCAAAATCAAGCCAAATGAAAAAAGTAATGTGTTCTGAGCAAACTCAGATGGGCACCAATGCTAGTTAACTTTCTCTTTGTAATCTGCTGCCCCCAAGTGGAGAAAGGATAACACTAAACATTAGGAAAAGTGTTACCTTACAAGGCAACCTTGGCTCTTTTATGACTCATGGACTTCAACTCCCAGAATTCTATGATATGCTGGCTCAGGAATTCTGGGAGTTTGCCTACCCAATATATACAGTAATGAGGAAGAATACAGGTAGTCCTTGACTTACAACAGTTCATTTAGTGACCTTTCAAAGTTACAAAAGCACTGAAAAAAGTGACTTTTGACCATTTTTCACACTTACGACCGTTGCAGCATCCTCGTGATCAAAATTCAGACGCTTGGCAACTGACTCGTATTTATGGCGGTTGCAAGTGTCCCAAGGTCACGTGATCCTTTTGCAACCTCCTGACAAGCAAAGTCAATGGGGGTGGGTGCCGATGCGCTTAACAATCACAACTGCAGTGATTTGCTTAACAGCTGTGGCAAGATAGATTGTAAAATGAGGCAAAAGTCAATTAAAAGATGTTTCCCTTGGCAACAGAAATTTTGGGCTCAGTCGGGATCATTAAGTTAAGGACTGCCTGTAAAAATAATTACTGCTACAGCAATAAGGGAAAAAAACCCCCACTATTTTTAAAAATCTTTTAAAGTTACCTTCTGCTACACTGAAACCTTGAAATTTAACAGGCTGAGCGTAGTTGATCAATGTTGACAAGTACGGGTGTATATTAGTTGTGGCACCTACATATTTATAAGAAGCCATCCATGCTTGTTCATCTTCTGCAGTTATCACACCCTGAAAGTATATTGAAACAAACATAATTTAATGGTAGCATCCCGTGGTTCAGGTGGGAATGGTTTCAAAGGAGAGGTAGTCAGAATGAAAATGGCATAGAAGAACCCTACTTTATTTTTTTTTTAATCAGTGCATGCACATGTTTGCCTGTAATGAAGAAAAATATGGGTTGGGTGTTCAAATAAATATACTATTGCGTAGGGTAACTTAATTTTTTTTATTATGCATCCTTGACATGTTTGACTGGGTAAATAAAGCAAAAAAGAGGCAAAGATGGAGCATAACTATCAGGAGAAGAAAGGAACGAGGTTAACTAATAATGCATATTTAAAATGCAGATCAGCATTTGATTAAAAGCCTACTTTTAATTTTAACGAGGGGAAAAAAAAAACAAGCGAAGAAGCCTCAGAGATATCGAAACAGATTTAAACCAAAATGTCCTCTGCAATTTTGCCTGTATTTATGCAGCAGGACATTGCTATTTGGGAACGTATTCCAGAGAGACGCACAAGCTTTCCCACAAGACAGCGCTTTCTTCCAGCCAAGAATATGGAATGCTGGCCATTCTTTTCTGGCCCATTCTTTAAAACTACTACCCCTGATATCTAATAGTGGCCACATCCTCTCCTCCTCCTCCTCAGATTAGGAGAAAAATATAGAAAAGTGCAGAAACCATGATCTACTGCTTTCCTTTTTCCACCAGCTTGAACAAAGAGAAATACAGTAGAAGGGCACATGGACCATTATGCTTCTTCCAAGACAGCTTTCTTCAACAAGCTTCTTCAAGTCTCCGGAGTGTGTGGACTCTCCAGATATTTCTGAGATTCTGCATGTATCTAAAGAAGTCTGTGTAATAACTGCTTTTCACCACCAAAATAGTACAGGAGATTCTGCTTTTATTCTCCCGAGAGTTATTACCATATTTTCTGGTATATAAGACGACTTTCTAAACCCTGAAAATCTTCTCAAAAGTCAGGGGTCGTCTTATATGCAGGAATATACAGGTAGCTGTTCTTTCAATTTAAAACCAATCTGCCCCCTAGTGGCCAGCCCTATTTTTTTACAGAAATAAGCACTAACAGGACAAAGCTTTCTAGCAGCAAAGGAGTTCCTATTGTGCTCATCTATAAACAGAAATTCAATATTGTACTGTATTTTCTGGCGTATAAGATGACTTTCTAAACCCTGAAAATCTTCTCAAAAGTTGGGGATCGTCTTATACGCCCAGTCGCCTTATACGCCCGAATATACGGTACTTTATATTCTGAAGAACAATTACTATTCCTTCCTATGATAATAAAAGAGGACACTTTCTAAATTCATGAAAGTAGAGCTGGATTTACATAGCAGAACTCCCAACAATGGGTAGAATGGGTATAAGCAAGACATTGACACAGCCACAGCAGGAGCTGTGTCGATGTCTTGCTTATATTACAGATACATTACAATATAATATACAACCTTCCTATCTTGGCTTACACTGGTTGGATTCACAGAATTTTAGCAGCTCACAAATGTAACTTTACAGGTGTTTGCATAAGTATTTGCAGAAATGTTCAGGTTGTGCAATAATCCAGGAGGAGCTGATACTCTTACATATGAGAGAGGTGACATAACTTGGCTTTTTTTTTCTATCATGCAAAGAATGAGAGAAACTCAGATGATGGGTGTTGATTTCCTCATATGAATCACTACATCCAATTGACTGATCCTTCAATGTTCATTGCCAGAAAAAAAAAGAAAAAAAAAAGAAGGCAATCTCCATTGACAACTTTGATTTTGTAAGATGTCCAGAACAATGGCATATATAGATGGGCAACTATATAAATTTAATCAACAAATATTGTTAACTTGCCCATTTCATAAGTCAAGGATGGAAATTTGGAAGCTTTTTCACAACAGTAAATGCTATAGACACATTCCCTGGTGAATTCTACCAAGTTCTTCATATAAAGGTAGTTTTAAGCAGCAATAATTTTGTCTTCCATTCACCCTCCCTTCCCCAATTGCAGTTTTAATAGTCTAAAATTTTGCCTTCCTTCCCCTAGTAAGGTATCTTTTTAAAAAATATATCATAAAGTTGTTTCTGAATATTTTTATAGTTGCCCAGATATATGAGTAGCAAATGAGAACTCTATCCTCTGTCAGAAGAATAATTACATGTATGTGGTATTTTTATTGCAAGGGAAAAAATAGTGATCAAAGCCCATGAAACAAACTGAAATCTGTTCATCAGCCCATATTCTTCTAAGTAGGTGAAATATACAATGAAAAAACAAGCTTTCACATTTTTATATTACAGTTTTTTCCAGATATTTCTCCTGGCTCACAATCAGATATCTGCATGCCTTTATGCCCTTTGAAGTGATACAAATCCAGGCCATGGAATGTCACTGTTTTCTTACAAAACAAGGACGATAATGCTGGCCTATTGCTAGGCCAGTTAAAGGACGCCAGAGTTGTGAACTCAACTGCCTCTGTGAAACAGGCACTATTCCAGAAAAGAGGGGAAGAAATACTCTGTAAGCCCAGGAGTCAAAATATTGGAAGAGAAGACAAATAAGGAGAGGAGGAATGGGGAAAAAAAGAGATCCAAGTGAAGCATTTTCAGAAGAATGTTTCACATGCAATCCCGCCCCCCCCCCCAAAAAAAGGAAAAGAAAAATAATGCTAAAGTAGAAGGGGACCTGGAGAAATGAAAGGGAAGTTAGACTGACTGATTGCTGCAGATCTACGTAGACACCTATATAGCTGAGAGACCAAACTCATGCAGGCCTTCCATCATCCAGGAACTTTTGGGGAGTGTAGGTAAGGGCAGGTGTTAGATTTCCTGTACCTCTCTAAAGAAAAAGATACTGCAATACAGCTACTGAATCCTTAATACTAGCCAAATAAAGAGGTAATGATGCAGGGCATTAAAAATACAGTTAACAAAGCAGTTTTATTAAAAGCAGAAAACTAAAAATGTAGAAGCTATGAAAAAATATCTCATGGGTCACCTTTTTATTGTTTTCTTGTTCAGAATCGTCCACAGCCTATGGGGAAAAATATAGATATTACCCAAAGTTGTTGCAAAATCACACACTCAAAACTCAAATGAGGATCGAGGAAATATTTTGGGCAGGTCTGTTAAATATATCCTTTCCACTGTTTGTATGCAGTTTCCATTTCTATTCAAAAACAACATGGTTGATAAGATGCCAAAGTGAAGAAATGAGGGGAAAAAAGGAAGTCCTTAATCAGAATAATTATAACATAGTTGGGAGTCCAGCCTAGATAATAGAATATTTCTAGATTTAAAACAAGTGAACTGAAGTTGCTCAGTGCTTATTTTTAAAAGACCTGTTACTGGTGGGGGGAAAAAAATCTCGTTTGCTCAGGGGATTGATTTACTGAATTTATACCCCACTGAAATCAATTTTCATGATTCTAAAATGATTCAATATTGAGTGCTACATGTTGGGTGAATGGATATTGAAAATACATATAATTTTATCTTTGATATTAACAGTGAAAAACCTGGGGTAACACTGGAAGATACTGCATAACTGCATTGTGAAAGCAAACTAGTCAGCCCAGATTACAATGAAGCACACAGTGACTAAATGGAGGGAACTAGTTCATTAAGTAACTAGAAACATACTATGATCTAAGGGGAATCTTAATTATATTGAAGTTGAAATTCCAGAGGAAACAAAGAAAAAATAACTGAGATATTAGAACTTTTGAACAAGCAACCCAAGAGGTTTTTTTTAAAAAAAAGTTGGGTAAAAGCCAGCTGGCAACAAGCAAATATTTTATTTGGGCAGCTCCCCAGATAAAACCCAGAAAACATCTATATAAGAAGAAAGACGCCAGAATTCCAGCAGGAGCAAAGTTATAAAGTAGTTCAGAATTAAAATGTTTCCTTGGGTGAGCAGAATTTGATGTGTTTGCTGTTGGAATACTACAAGAACATTCTACAAGAAAAAACAATCAGATATCCCATGGAATGTTCTATTAACAAAGAATCTCTGGTCCCTAGGTGGAAGAGGAAGCTGTCCCAGTCTCAGACAGAATTATTACTTCTTCTTTCTTCCAGTCTTCTATATGGTCTCCTGCTATTATCTCAAATTTGGCCTTTTAGATCGTGTCTTTTGCTATTTTTCAGACACTTGCTTGTTAGGGTCTAGGTAGGACAACTTGCCGCAGACTACTTGCCGTGGCCAACTCAGCATAAGCCAACTCGCCACGGCCAACTCATCATGGGACAAAGATGAGTTGTCCCATTCCATGCTTTTTACTCCTCCCAGTATCAGTGAGAAATTATTCAGTATAGGCACCAAGTACTCAAGAGACAATTAACTCCTAGCTCTCTAGTCTAGTCCTTCAGCAGTGAGTATCAAAGAAGAAAATCAGTTTTTGCCTTTGTAACTTTAATTCAAATTATAGGTATGAAGGCTGTACAATATCTTCTGGGACTGACATGCAGCCTTTTATTGAGAAAAAATAATAATAGATATCTTATGATTTGGGATGCTCTGCATGGTATTTTCTGAAGACCAACTCCTGATATACCAGAGTACAACATGGCCTGGAAAAATTGATACTGCTTATTATTTAAAATATAATTAAGTTCTGAAATGTCATACACATTTTTTTAACCAACTATGTGTATTGTGGGTCTTGTTCTCTTGGCTGCTTCTGATCTTTTAATTAAATATATATGGGAAAAGCTGCCTTACCTTTTTAATGTGATTAGCTACAGATTCCTTTTGGCTCAGGTCATCTGCAGAAAGCTCACTTCCAAATTTATACTCTGGATGCGCTTCCTCTTCTTGCTCCCCTGTGTAGCAATACAGTACAAAAGGGAATAAAATGATCAGAAAACTACTTAAAAAAAAACCCCAAGTAGTAAATCGAAGATATCAAACCAAAGGCAATAGAAAGGTTCCTTAACTACTGACTAGCTTTTGTCTATTAAAGGTGGTCGTGTTCCACTTCATGTAAACCCAACGACAGTTAAAAAAGTAGATTTAACCTTCTGCACTAAAAGTTGCTCCTCGATTTTCTCCCATAGCTCTTCATAAATTAACCACTCATAATTAGTTTGCTAATTGATGGATGACAAAGAGGAAGAGAATAACTCACAGGAGGACAGATGGTATACTGTTCATTAAGGGCTTGGCAACTGGGTGAATCCCAGTTTTGTTTTGTTTTTAATGTTAAATTTAAGTGGTCACATTCATAACTTACCTTAAAGTCAATTCACTACTTCTCATAAACAGTTTCTCTCCCTTCAGTCTCTCCCTTCTCAATCTATCTAGTTTGAAAACCACCATGTTCAGCTGAAATTTATTTATCAAACCTGTAGCTGAGAAGGGCATCGAGGACAATAGAAAAAGCTTTGGGAGGCTTACTGTATGATAGAGATGTTGCCCCCTTATTACAGTGTGTGCTAGAGATGTTGCCCCCTTATTACAGCCTGTACTTCCTGCACATAGCCTTGAATTCAGAACCCAAAGATAAATGTACACGTGACTGCTATAAGAAAACAATAAATATAAGCTGTCAAGTCAAAGGGCTCATTCTAAGGCGGGGGTGGGGAACAATGGCTCTTTTATGACTTGTGGACTTCAACTCCCAGAATTCCTGAGCCAGCTATCCTATGCTGGCTCAGGAATTCTGGGAGTTGAAGTCCACAAGTCATAAAGGGGCTATGGTTCTCCACCCCTGTTCTAAGGCAACATATCCAGCATTCTGTCATCTGATACACTGCAAATATCAGCAAGAGGAACTTAAAAATATGATAAATAAAAGAACCACTTTACCACTTTCTATCTCCTCTTCATTATCATCTTCCAAGATGCTGACAGGAGCAGCCGTTTCACCAGCTTCCATCATACTTTTCAAAGTTTCAAGCTGTTCTATTTAAAAGAAATATGTGTACATATCCATACAAAAAACCCACAAAATTTTATAATCCAATTATGGAAAATAATTCAGGTAAATCTTGGTTCGGAAAGATTGCATAAGAGTTGAATTCCAATGTACTCCACAACAGGGTCAATATTTCTCATTACTGGTATTGGAATAATATCATCTGTTCTCTTATTCAAAATTACTGCCACATGGCTAATCGCTGAAATGTACATATTCAAGAAGAAATGATGTGCATGGCAATACGTTACCCTGGTTACAAGGTGCTGTAATATGTAATTGTATTATTTTGTGCTTGATAGCATTGCACAGACACAGCAATTCCCTAATGGCAGAAACCAGATATAGGTTTTCATGGGTCAAAATGACTTTTATACCAGCCTAAGAATCAAAGGGCAAGAGAAGTAATAATAATCTTAAGTGGTTTTAATATTATAATCAATATACCCAACTCACAGGGTGTGCAGGATTGCAGCCATTCTACAAAACATAATGAATTACTACAGTCCCACCAATATGGCTGAGAGCCAGCATGGTATCATGGTTAAGGCGATGGACTAGAAGCAGCAAGTTTTACTCCTCTCTCAGGCGTGAAATCCAGCTAGGTGACCTTGGCTCAGTCACTTTCTCTCAGCTCACACCAGTGATAGGCTCTGAGACAACTGGCCGAAAATCAAAGCCCTTTGCTGCAAAGACCCACTGATAAGCTTCAGTATAAGAACTGCAGACACAGGTAGTCCTCAGCTTACAACCATTCGTTTAATGACTGCTCAAAGTTACAATGGCCCTTTGACTTTGAAAAAAGTGACTTCTGACTGTTTTTCACACTTTATTTCAAATGTTGAAGATGAGCTATCTTGAATGGCTAATTCTCTAACAGCATTAAAAGATCGGCGTCTTCTGCATGGTGGCGCAGTGGTTAGAATGCAGTACTGCAAGCTACTTCTGCTAACTGCCGGCTGTCAGCAGTTCAATTCTCATCCGCTCAAGGTTGACTCAGCCTTCCATCCTTCCGAAGCCAGTAAAATGAGGATCCAGATTGTTGGGGAGGGGCAATATGCTGACTCTGTAAAATGCTAAGAAGGGGCTGTAAAGCACTACGAAGCGGTATATAAGTGTTAAGTTCTAAGTGCTATTGCTTATAGACCTACAGATATGCTCTTTCTATGATGGCACCTGTCCTATGGAGCAGCCTCCTTCCAAGATCTGGAAGCTCTTTTGGCCTCCAATGAAGACAGGGCTTTCCCCCAGGTGTTGGGCCAAGATGCTAGATGAGTTCAATATAGGTATGGTTTGTGTTTTGAATTTGTTATGGAGTGTCTCAGATATTGTATTACTATTATGTGGGGGTTTTTTGCTTTCTTTATGGAAGTTTTAATTTAATAAACTGGATTTTAACAAATGAGAGTTACATACACAAGATCGGCAGGCATGTACATTTTATAAATACACACATGCAAACAGGCTACAGCAACTTTCCTCCAGATGCATTGGGATATTAACTTTCAACCTTGCCAATAAGCATAAATGGCCATATTTACTAAAAGTAAAAAAAATGTCTAGTGATAATAAGGTAAAAACAAAAACTTTGACCTTAGAATGTAGGATTCTCTAGAAGATGCCCTTTCAAAACTTCGCAAATAGTTAACAATAAAGCAAAGTGCTATTATTAGGAAACAATGGAGGTTACCAGCACACCATTTAAGCCATAGTGCCTTTTCATTTAGATATTAGGCATTTTAAATGCAATTTACTTACTTTTTTCCACCTCTGGTTTCAACCTTTTGTTTTTAATAAGAATCTTTTTTCTCAGATCATTTGGGGAGGGCAAGGACCTTCCTGGTTCAAGCTGAAAGGCAAAAAAAGGCCTAATTAGGAAATACACCCACTGCTGTCTTTTGTTCCTGCTTTCCTCACAATTATTATAGTTGTGGCAATTATGCACACACAGAGACACCTAAAGGAAGAACAGTCATTTGTGACTTGTAGAACACCTGTTAGAAATACATTCCTCTCTTTAAAATTGAATCTAGTAAGATGCTTAGCGAATTATCTTCTTGCATTTGACAACTTAGATCAGAGGTCTTCAAACTTGGCCCTTTTGTGACTTGTGGACTTCAACTCCCAGAATTCCTCAGGCATAATAACTTAGGGTTATTATGCTTCAGGCCTTGTGAACTCTCCAGGATTTTTTTCAAATAAGAAACTAAAATAAAACTGCTTAGAATTAAAAACATCTCTAGGAAACTGTGCATAAGCAGGTTTTGCTAGCCTTTAATATGCTTTGACTGATCCACTCTACAGATCCTACAACAATGCACTGCAGTATACATTTCTGTACTGCTCCAGATTAGGTAGCTATTCCCTCTCTAGCACACTGTATCCCTTTGCCTTTTCTTCTGGCTTCACTGGGTTTCTCCTGAATTTTTTATAGCAAGTTTTCTTGCACTTCAGCATATTTTGTGACTCCTTCAATCAGGGTGATAGCTTTTTCCTCATTCTAGCTTATGTTACGGTGTAAATATGGAATGCAACAACAGGGTAGTCCTTGACTTACAAATGTTTGTTTAGTGACCATTCAAAGTTACAACGGCACTGAAAAAAGTGAACTTATGACCATTTTTCACGCTTACAACCGTTGCAGCATCCCAGTGGTTATGTTATCAAAATTCGGATGCTTGGCAACTGGTTCATATTTATAACAGTTGCAGTATCCTGGGGTCATGTGAACAGCTTTTGTGACCTCCTGACAAGAAACGTCAATAGGGCAGCCAGATTCACTTAATGACCATGTTACTAACATAACAACTGCTATGATTCACTTAACAACTGTGACTAAAAGGGTCACAAAATGGGGAAAAGCTCAATTTTAACAAATGTCTCACTTAACGACATAAATTTTGGCCTCAACTGTGGTGGTAAATCAAGGACTACCTGTATACCTTACTGATATTGCATCTCAGTAAAGGAGGACTATCCCAGGACATCTAGAAAAGACTCCGGGAATTTTTTGGATTAGACTGCATCCAGTCTTGGCTAAGTGCCAGAAATGTTAGCATTTAAGTGTCATGTGGATCAGTCACAGACATTACCATAAGCCAGTGGTGGGGAACCTATGGCACGCGTGCCAGAAGCGGCACTCAGAGCCCTCTCTGTGGGCATGTGTGCCATTGCCTCAGCCCTGCCTCCCCCCACGGCCCCCACCTCACCAGCAGCCCCACCGGAGAGTCACCCGTGAGGTGGCCCATGCAGAGAAGCACAGCCAAGAACATGGCAGTCAGGCAGCGGGGACAAGACTCCACCCTCGTGCCCCATCATGTGCAGTTGATTTTTGTGGAGCGCAGGCAGAGGGCATGGCTGCCATGGCACTGCTAGGCCGCTTGGGCGATCTGTGGCAGCTGTGAAGGCAGCAGGTGGCCCTGCGGGCAGGTGGGGCAGGGAGCAGATGGGGCGGGATGGAGGCGAGGTGGGGGTGGAGCGGGCAGGATGGGGGCGGGGCCTGTTTTGGGGCACTCGGTCTCTAAAAGGTTCGCCATCACTGCCATTAACAAACACTTAAATATTAAAGAAGTGAGGATATTGCATTTTTTGCTGTTTATTTTGGTTGATGCTATAACTGAATGCCTTAGAAAAATATGTGTGAATGTGTGTAAATGGATGAACAAAACTGCACACATGAGGCAAAATCTGCAAAAAATGTATATTTTAAATGAAATTTTCACTTTTGCGTGGACTTCTTTCTAAAAAATTGCAAAGCATTGCAAAAACAGAATACTTTTAAGATGGGAAAAGTGAGAAAGTAAGAAAAACCAAACTACAAAGATTTACTGAGGCCTATGAGAAAGGATAAACTTACAATAACTACTGGTGAAAACACACATACAGAGAATATGTTTGCCCCCCTCCCCATCAAAATCATCAAACTGTGTTTTGAACATTATACAGGAAGAGATAGCATGCTTTAAAGTATCCCTGAGAATTGGAAAACACATGTTAAAAACAGATATTCCCTGAAGCACTTCTTTATAAGGCAGGAGGGCGAGGGTTTCTATAAATATCCAGGAATAATGGGTTTCAAATATGAGATGCTGACAAAGCAAAGGAGTTTGGGTTATGAAACAGCAGATGTTACCTGAAATCTGATTAAAATAATGATAGGTAAGACACTCTGAGCTCTAGAAAAATATGTGAGGACACTGAAGTGGCAACATAAGCACCAGCAACAGAATTCCAAGTCTCTCTCATGCCAAATGGTGTGTTACCCAGTCAGTGTAAGTGCATCACTCTTACCATCAAATTTCCAAACATTTCCACAAGAATATTTAAACATAACAGTTGGAAGACCCTTACTGGATGTGTTTCTAGTGGCTGCTTTAGGAGAAGATCTCCAAAAATATCTTCGCAGTATTTTGACATTTTGTATTGTTGGTATTTGCTAGAAAAGAAGTATTATTGTTAATCAATCAAAAATATAAAACTGAACAGAAATTAAAATATCTTTCAACTGTATTAGATTGTTATTACATTACAGTTTAAAACCAATATAGTAAAACAAGTTATACATAACACTTGTAATGGCAGAAAATTTTTAAGAGTGAGTTCAAATTTATCTGTGACTAGAATTACTTCATTAGTAATTGTGTTCCTACTTTGAATTTTACCATAAAATCCCTTTCACCACACCAATTAAATACAGTGTAACAGAACATTACCACTTCGTAACATACCTGCAGTGATTTTCAAAGGACAAGATGACAGGATACTCAGATGTTACAAAGGCTGTTTCCTTAATGGCTTGAATCACATCCTTTAAAAATACAACAAAGCGGCGTTATGGACATTTCAAAATAAATTCAGGTGCATTCTAGAGCAAAGCAAAGAACAGGAGAGATGCCCCATTCAACATGAATGTGCACATAGACATAATCACGGAGAAAGTAAGAGCTTAATCTTTTCGCATCATAAAAACTGGATACTATGTTTCACCAAATTCTCCATATTTCCTCAAATGGTTGAAGTGTGGTACTCGGACCAGTCCTGTCATTAGGCCAGATGAAGCAGCCATCTTAGACGAAAGGTGCCAGAAGACAATGGAGAATCTCCCAGAGTTTTAACTTTACTGAACTTTCATGCCAATACTGGCCTTAATGCCTACTTTCGCTACATAAGCAATTGTTGCTCTCAAAATACAGTAGGAAAATATCCAATCACCAGTGTTGACATAAGTGTCAAGAGGGAAGATTTCTGAACACTCAATATGAAATATGGGGAGGACTGATAATGGCATGTCACTAATGCTTTGATCCATATTGGCCTATTTAAGCCAAATATTCCTTATTCGTAGAAAGTGTTTTCACCTTCCTTTTTCACTGACAAGCAAGAATAATGTCAAACTTAACAGAACCACAATGAATTCTACATTGTAGAGCCAATAATATTTCAAACATGAGCAATGTTATCAGGAGGGAGCAGGAGAAGACTTAACTTAGATAAAAAAGTAATAATAATAATAAAGTTGGAAGGGACCTTGGAGGTCATCTAGTCCAATCCCCTGCTCAGGCAGGAAACCCTATACCATTTCAGACAAATGGCTATCCAGTCTCTTCTTAAAAACTTCCAGTGTTGGAGCATTCACTGCTTCTGGAGGCAGGCTGTTCCACTGCTTAATTGTTCTAACTGTCAGGAAGTTTCTCCTTAGTTCTAGGTTGCTTCTCTCCTTGGTTAGTTTCTATCCGTTGCTTCTTGTCCTGCCTTCAGGCACCTTGGAAAATAGCTTGACTTCCTCTTCTTTGTGGCAGCCCCTGAGATAATGGAACACTGCTATCATGTCCCCCCTCATCCTTCTCTTCACTAATCTAGACATACCCAATTCCAGCACCGTTTCCTTATATGCTTTAGCCTCCAGTTCCCTAATCATCTTTGTTGCTCTTCTCTGTACTCTTTCTAGAGTCTCAACATCTTTTTTACATCGTGGTGACCAAAACTGGATGCAGTATTCCAAGTGTGCCCTTACTAAGGCATTGTAAAGTGATATTAATACTTCACATGATCTTGATTCTATCCCTCTGTTAATGCAGCCCAGCATTGTGTTGGTCTTTTGGCAGCTGCAGCACACTGCTGGCTCATATTTAAGTGATTGTCCACTAGGACTCCGAGGTCCCTCTCACAGTTACTACTATTGAGCAAGGTGCCCCCTATACTATACCTGTACATTTGGTTTTTCTTGCCTAAATGTAGAACCTTACTTTTTTCACCATTGAATTTCATTTTGTTAGATAGCACCCAGTGTTCAAGTCTGTCCAGATCCTCCTGTATCCTAAGCCTGTCTTCTGGAGCGTTGGCTATTCCTACATAAGAAGATGTTTGCATCTGTGGCAAATCTACAAGAAAATAAAAATCACATAGGAACTGGTTACCTTGAACAGAATATCTGTACACATGGCCTTTCCATGTGTTATTATTGGTTCTTGATCTTCACCTTTTCCATCCCAGCAATCAAGTTCAATACACCTAGAAGTCAAAGGGAAAGAAAGATGGTATAAACTAGTCCTAGCTGTCAAGTTATAAAGAACAATATAGTTCCACACAAATTATTGGTAAACATTCATTTTAAATAGGCTATAGTTCTGCATGTCATCTGAAAGAAAGGGATTAAGAAATGCAAATATATTTTCTTAGTTGGATTTGCAGTTTCATCAGACTTACTTTTGCAGGTAATTAAAATAGTTTATATGTACATGTATATAAATGAAATACATGTGACTTCAGTATAATTTATTATTTGCTGGTAATCTATAATCAAAGGAATCGAGCATTCAGATTGTTTTGTTTTTTTTAAAAAAAATCCCCAATCCTTATTGTGCTTTGTTTGTCCTATAATTTATTTCAAGATCTTGAGATATATTGCTAGAAATCCTATTAATAGGTTTTCAATATTTATACTGAGTTTGTTAAATATGTGCATATGCTTACAGACATACACATACACATATATGTATGCAGATTCACTCAAGCACGATGGTAAATTAAATTTACTGAATTAAGAGTTTTAGCCTCCTTAAGCACACCTCACCTGCATCCAGCCAAGAGGACTTGTCTGTACATCTCCACTGATGACTTTCCACCAAACTGCCTTCCTGTGAGATATGTGTTGTGGGAAGAGCTAATAAAATAGTGAGCCAGAGGGTGTTCCATTTCTTGATACAGCTCTAAACGGTCTAGGAAGACAGGGGCATTCTCATCTGACATTAAGTACCGACAAAACCCATCACTTGACATGACACCTGAAATGAGCAATACGCAATGTTAGAATGCAGTCTTCGTCATTATTCTAAAATTGGGCTCCTGGTTCATTCCCTTAATCTGAGATGGCCATTTGATGAGGAAGACAAGTGGAGGGTTTGTTGATTCCTGGTTGTGTTTTAAAGGAAATCCAGCCTTTCCCTGGGAAAAAAAAGAACCAGGTTCTAAAGGAGATGGCATTTAAAGAGAATTACTCAAAGACAGTTTTTCCCATTTAAAGAGGCAAAATACATACAGGATGATGGGACGAACCAGATCATCTCCATTTGCCTCTATTTTTTAAGGAAAAGCCCCTAGCCAAGAAATGTTTGCTTGCCTAAATCACAGTTATAGAAATGGAACAGTTTGGAAATCAAACCAATCTATCCCCCCGCTCAGAGTGTTATCTGCAATACAAGACAAAAATACTGGTTAGGATCACGAGCCATTTAGGACTTTGAAGATTAGAGCCAGCCCAGCCCTTTAAATGGAGATTGGAAATACAACATACTGATGGTCAGTGCAGGCAGCAAAACAACAGCCTATCCGAATGCCTCACAGAGCCTTTTAAAATATGGAAAAAGTATATCAGTGTTTCCCAACCGCGACAACTTTAAGACACGTGGCTGGTTGGGGAATTGAAGTCCCCACACCTTAAAGTTGCCAACATTGAAAAACACTGAAGTATAGCAATAGCACTTAAACTTATATACCGCCCTATAGTGCTTTACAGCACTCTCTGAGCGGTTTACAGTATCAGCATATTGCCCCCAACAATCTGGGTGCTCATTTTACAATGTTATCTACAATGAAACAAAATTTAGGATAGCCTACGTATTGAGTAGCTGACGACAAGCAAGCTGAACTTTTTAACAAAAATTATTAACATCCATCTCTTCTTTTTACCTTTCTTTTTCAAATCTTCATCTGGTTCATATATTTCAATTATCTGCATTGCTCTTTTAGGATCAAAGAACGGAAATAAAATTTCATTCAGCCGAGGATCTCGTTGATGCTAAGGTAAGAAAAAACAAGACTGATGAAAATTACTACGTGCTGTTTTGCTTCTACAAATCTTTCATCGGTGCAAGTAATATTCAGGAGGGGCTTGCTTTTAAAGTCATTTAGACTTCTATTTTTTTTCTTGATCTTTTTTTGAGATCTATATTTTTACAAGTAAATTAATTTTATTTTATGTTCAGTATAATTCTGTACTCTAATAGTACGTTAGTACAGATGACTACAATGGCTACAAATGTTCACAAAGAAACAAATTCATGCAGTGAGAATCATTTATCTACATTACTGCCCACATCATAATTCATTAATGACATATTCCCTAAAATGCTTTTGAAATTCCCATATGTGGGTAATTATGAGTTTAAAATATGACTATTCATATATGAAGAGGAAAAGTATAAAGAAAAGAAAATGAAACTGCACAGGACAGTAGGCAATGAACGTTTAAAGAATTCTTGGCATTCAATAAATAGCTTCAGTTAATTTACTTCTAAATTAACAAGTGAGCAAAAATTTGGAATTCCATCACCAATATTTATCACTCATATCTGAATTTTTAAAAATGGTAGGTGTCCCTCTTAAGAGTATTCCTCTGTTAAAGTTTTTACCCATTATTGTTTGAAATACCTGAATCAAAATCAATTTCAATATTACTTAGAGTAATTGTCAGATAATGGTTCTAATTACCTTTTGGAACTAGCACAATACTAGACAGCCGGTGACTTGCTGGGTCATCCTTTCAGAGATACAGTTATTTCCTTACCAGATTTCCTCAATGCTTTCAACAGTAACAGAACATCTAATGTACTGCCTTCATTGGAAAAATTGAGATACATTCAGACAGGTATCTGTCTTTAAAATAGTCCATGTTGAACTGTATAGCACAGTCAAACATCAGCACATGTTCTATGTTCTATGACGTTTTGTATTATATCATAAACTATTTTATAAAATTTGCCAAAGTTCAGTTCCATGGGAGTCATGGGTCTCAGATTTGGACACACTCTGTAAGTTAGCCCATCGGAGGGTCAAAAATTGTTGCCCTATGATGCATCATTTTGTCCAGTTAAAAGTTATAGAAACAATGTTTGTTAGTACTCTATAGATTGTCACCACTCTTATTCCTTTTTTGGATTCAGTAATTAAAACAATCTAATAAGTCCTTGCTATATGTAGCATACTTAAATAAGACTAAAAGGGGCGTTGTCTTACCTGAACGCCTTTTCTCAGCACGGAGATGGAGAATCCACCAACGAGTTTTCTCTGTCTGCCTGCTCTTGAGACCAAGTAGCCAAACTTGACACGCCCCCTCTTGCTAGGAGATCCAGTCTTGACGAGGGCGAAAGTGGCGATGCTAGGCCTAGGTGTTGACTCTCTAACCCCTAATACCAGCCTAACTGACCTTAAGGGTGGGTGTGTATTCTCCATCTCCGTGCTGAGAAAAGGCGTTCAGGTAAGACAACGCCCCTTCTCCAGCACAGGAGATGGAGAATTTACCAATGGGACATACCATGTCCCAGTGGGTGGGAAACAGATAAGGCCGGTTCTATGTCCCCGGAAACCACCTGCTGGAGGACCCTCTGATCAAAGGAGGCGTCCATGGAAGCGAAGTGGTCAATCCTATAATGGCGTACAAATGGGGAGGGCGAAGATCATGTCGCAGCCCTGCAAATCTCCTCGATGGATGCGTGAATGGTCCGTGCTGCAGATGTTGCAGCGCTGCGAGTGGAATGGGCTGTGATATGACTTGGAGCCAGCAGGGAAGACTAGTATGCCTCCACGATACAAGCCCTGATCCACCTACCTATGGTGGAAGAGGACACCTTCTGCCCCAGGGAAGCCGGGCGGAAGGAAATAAAGAGGGCCTCAGACCTGCGAAAAGGTGCGGTGCGCTTGATGTAACGCCGCAGACCCTGCGGATGTCCAGTGTGTGCCACTGCCGCTCCAAGTCATGGGAACGATTGGGGCAAAAATTAGGCAAAATGACTTCCTGTGGCCTATGGAAGAGTGAATTGATCTTGGGCACGAAGGTGGGATCCAACCGTAGGACCACCCGGTCTCGGTGGAAGATACAAAGATTGTTCCTGATCGAGAGAGCAGCCAGCTCGGAAATACGCCTGGCTGACGTGATGGCGACCAGGAATACGACCTTGTGAGATACGTCCCGTAACGGTATCGTAGTAATGGGCTCAAAGGGCGGTTTCGTGAGTGCGCGAAGCACATGAGGCAGCTCCCAAGAGGGATACCTGTGTACCATGGGAGGCCTAGTGTTGCATGCGCCTTTGATGAAGGCGCGTATCCTATGATGGTTAGCTAGAGGGACTGAATTCGCGCAAGTGAGCAACATTAATAGGGCCGCCACCTGCCTACGAATGGTCACAGGGGCCAGGCCTCTGTCCAGACCTTCAAGAAGGTAGTCTACGATCTGAGGAATAGTCAATTTGTAGACATCCAGTTGCCACCTTCTGCACCAATGGCAAAAAAGTTTCCAGGTGGAATCATAAATGCGATTGGTCGCCGGCCTACGAGAGGCCTGAATCATAGTGATTGCCTGTGGTGAGAACAACTCTTGCGTCATGATGCTGCGTTCAAGCGCCAGGTTGCTAACTGTAACCACTGAAGGTTCGGGTATTGGAGGACCCCCTGGTGTAAGGACAGGCGATGTGGGAGAATCTTCCACGGGGAGAACAGGAAAGATTCATTAGGTCAGCAAACCAGGGCCTCCGTAGCCAATATGGGGCCATGAGGATCACTTCCGCCTGCTCCTGGAGCAGTTTGCGGATGGTTGCTGGAATGAGTGGGAGGTGGGAGGGCGTAAAGTAGGTCCTCCGGCCACAGAGTCCGCAGGGCGCAGGGGACGGACGCCCTGCGGACTCTGTGGCCGGAGGGCCTACTTTAGGAAGTAATAGCCAGAGAAATACCTGGGGAGTTGGGCATTGCTCGATGACACGAACAGGTCGAGGACTGGTTGGCCGAACCTTTGGGATATCTCGGAGAAAAGATATGGATGTAGTCCCCATTCTGAGGGATCTATTGTAGAGCGACTCAGAAAGTCTGCCTACCGGTTCTTCTCCTCTGAGATATGCTCGGCCCTGAGGGAGGCCAGGTTGGACTCTGCCCAAGATCCCAGCAACCAGGCCTCAGACATGAGGGACTTGGACCTGGTGCCCCCCCTGCCGGTTCACTTGGGCCTTGGACGCCACGTTGTCCGTAAGGACCAATACGTGACGGCCTCCGATCCGGTGGTAGAATTGGCGAAGAGCTAAGTGAATGGCCCTGAGTTCCAGCCAATTGATGTTGTGTCTCAAGTCTGCGCGGGACCAACGGCCCTGCGCAAACTGAGACTGTAGGTGGGCTCTCCAGCCGAATAGGCTGGTGTCTATCGTGATAGTGAGGCGGTCGGGCTCCTTGAAAGGTGATCCCTTGGTTACCCCCTGTGAGAACCACCAGCGAAGAGACCTCAGGGTGTGGACCGGGAGCCTCACCTGCTGGCTGGATGCGCTGGCGTTCAACCGCTGGAACAGTAGAAGGAACCATTGGAGCTCCCGCAAGTGGAGTCTGGCCCAGGGAACTATGGCTATGCAGGAGACCATTTTCCCTAGTAGTTGAGAGAGTAAGACCAGTGGAACAGTGCGGCGAGCTAGGTCCCTGATGCTTCCAACTGCTCCTGGGAAAGATAGACCATACAGTTTGTGGTATCTATGATGGCTCCCAGGTGCAGAAGTCTGGATGAGGGAACTGTCTGGTTTTTCCAGAAGTTCACCGAGAACCCGTGCTTTGGAGGACCTGAATTGTTAATTCCAGGTCTGACTGGACCGCCCAGTCCAGGATGCTTGGATCAAGTTGTCGTCCAGGTAGCACTAGACTTGTACCAGTACCTTCCGTAGATGGGCGGCCAGCACAGCCAGGATCTTGGTGAACACCCTGGGCGCCGAGGAGAGGCCAAATGGGAAGGCCTTGTATTGGAAGTGATGGCTCCTGTAACAGAACCTGAGGAACCGCCGGTGATTTGGAAGGATGGGGATGTGGAGATACGCTTCCATGAGGTCTATTGACGCCAAGAAGTCTCCCTCTCTGATGCCTCCCAGCATGGACTGGAGTGATTGCACTTTGAATTTTTTGAGGTCTAGAATTGCCCTACATCCCCCCGAGGTCTTGGGAACCAGAAAGAGGATGGAGTCGAATCCCCTTCCCTTGTGATCTATACCGGTTCTATGGCCTGTATTTCCAAAAGATGATGAATGGCCTCCTGCATAAACCCCAACTTCATTGGATCCCGAGATGTGGGGCAGGTGATGAAATGACCCAGGGGGACTGGACAGAAACTCGACAGACAGACCATGTTGGAAGGTCTGTAGTACCCAGCTGTCCGTGGTTGTAAGCTCCCATGATGGAAGAAGTGAGCTAGCCTGCCTCCTATGGGGAGGGTGACATGAGAGTCACTTGGACCGCCTAAAGGGACATCCGGTCCCTCGAAATGGCCGTTTGTTTTGATTCTGCTGTCTGGGTCAAAAGCCTGCCCTGTCATATGGACAGTCATATAGGCGGTCTTGTCTGGGCGTAAAAGGACGGGAAGGTTGGGTGCCTGCTGAGCCCGAAGTTGGCCGAAAGGACTGCCTACGGGGATAAGGAGTGGCATGCTTGTCAGACTGTGTGGTGAGATGAGCCATGACCTTCCGCTTTTCCTTGTTTTCCACAAGGTACGGATTCAGGGCCTCCCCAAAGAGGTGGTTGCCTTGGTAGGGGGCAGTTTCAAGGCGCCATTTGGCCTTGCATCGGCCTGCCAGTGCTTGAGCCATAGCATCCTCCTGGCTGTAACATTGGAAGCTAGGGCCCTCGAAGCAAAGTTGCCGACTGTAGAGTTGCGTCTGAAGCATACTCCGTCGCCGCAACTATTTTGCTTAGGTCCTGATGGGTCTGAATGTCCTTGGGAAGTAGTTGGCTTGAAGCTGATGAAGCCATAAAAGGGTGGTTCGGACGAAGAAGGACGCGCAC